ATTAACTTTCCTTTCAACTCACCAAAATCAATCCCTCCAAAATCGGAAGGAAAGTGAATGAAAAGTTAATTATTTGTGTTGAGATGTATCTTATTTGTCTATATATCTTATGTATACATTAATTTCATATAAAAATACAATGGTAAAATATGTATATATATTTTAAAAATTAATTTTTTAAAAAATAAAATAAAAAAAAATAAAAATTTTAAGTTAAAAAAAATATTTTTTTTATCTTAACTAAGGGTGAAAATTTTCGACTCAACATGATAACACGACTCGAACTCGATACGAAAATAAATAGGTCAACTCGCAACTCGACACGACACAATTAGTTAAATGAGTTAAGTTAAGTTTGACTAATATTCGACACAAACTCGTAATGATTCAACACGAATCTAACACGATACGACTCGAATCTATTATCACATCTAATCTTAACCAGCACAAAAAAAAATAGTTATTTTTATTTTCCATCCATCCAACTAAACACAAAGGAAGGAAAATGTATCTTTCCAATTTTTTATCCTTAAAGGATAGAAAGTGTATTTCTCTTACTTTCCATCATTCCTACTTTTCATTCTCCTTACCAAACGGAACATTATTAAAAAGAAAAATCAGTCTAAACATGTGCTCGTTGGGATCGTTGATATAATGTCAATTTTCGATATTCGTAATTACTCACAAATCATGCGTATAAGTAAATAGATATCCTTGTAAGACTAAACTTGAATTGCGATATACTAATTCTTGAAATATCTCGATCTATGTTTTCTTGATGAATTTTTTCAAATACAAAGACAGGACAGTTTGGCATGCGGGCTTGATTACCAGTCGTCGGCTTACTTAATTGAATGATGTGTAACAATGATGGAAACTTGCTGTTAGCTCTTTGATGTTAGAGATGACGTTAAGTGCGCAAAATATCTCTATATCCTTCAATATACATATATATACTTGATAGAATTCAATTAAAAAGATAGATCACAATCTAAAAAAATAACATCTCAACTTGTCGTTTGTTTCAATAGATTATACTAGTCATTTGGCAATATTTTTGTTACAAGATAAAGCCAAACAAGCTTAGAAAGCAACGTTTTCTTCTCCGATTCTTTTGGTGAATAGTTTTTTTTTTTGTTTTAACAGTTAGAGGTGTTCAAATTAATTTAAATACACATCAATTAGTTTCATCCCTAATTTAATCAAAGACAAACTATTTGTACCAATAAAAAATTCTTTCAAAGACCACGCCAAATGGGCTAAATGGGATGACCAAAGAGAGTGTTTTCCTCTTCTTTTTGTTCAAGGAGTTGATAAGTACATTAAACAATTAGTCAACTTTGGTGTGTAACAGACTCTAAAAAAACCCACTACCCACTAATCCTTACAAACAGACAAAAGTTCTAGGAGGAAAATATCTATCCAATATGTTAATCCAGTTCCATGTATTTATAATGAAATATTTTTATTTACTCACATAAGTGCTTATCCATTCATTTAACATACCGCAGGTTTAAATTTGAAAATTATATAAAAGAGAAAATTACACCAAAATCTATTTAAGTTTATTATTTAATCACTTAGACCCCCTAATATTTAAAATATTATACACAAACTCTTGAGATTTATACGCGCGTAACACTTAAACTCTTACTGTTAATGTCCATTAATATATCCATTAGTAAATTATGCCCAGACCCCCTCAAATTTATAATCATGTAACACTTATACCTCTCAAGTTTAAAATATTATACTTAAACCTTTTATTAGTAACGAAATTAACGAAATCTATTAAACGACTAAATTACTCATATTAAAAATATAAGATATTGTGTTCATTACAGTTTGACCTCTTGTTTAATTTTATTGTTTTATTCCAATAGACGATATAATTGTATACAAATAAATATTGAAATGAATTTTTTGATATATTTATACTGATTATTATTTTTTTCTCAAAAAATTAGGAGTTTGTTTGGTTTTTCTGCCAATAGAAGATATGATATAACATGCAAATGAGTTGATTTGATGATAATAAAAAAATTGACTCAAAGTGAAAAGTCTATTTAATCCAAGTTCAAATTGACGTGGAGGTCGTCCAAATTTTGGCATTTATAGTATTAATTATAATTTTTTTAAAATTGAATTTTTATTTTTATTTTTATTTCAATAATAACATAATTAACACATGAATTTTGGTTGTAAAATTTAAAATATTTGATATTCTATCTTTAATTGAATTTTTTTTAAATCTAAATATTACACATTTTAAAATTTAAGGGTCTTAATGTAATTTATTAACAGATATACTAACGGACATTTAACAACAGAGATATATGTCTTACAGCATATAAAACTCAAAAAATTTATGTATAATATTTTAAATATAAAGAGGTTTAATAGCAAATCTAAGGCCATTTGAGTGTAATTTGTCCTAAAAAAATAGAATATGTGAGATGTCAAACAGTTTTCAAAGTACGTTGTTATCCTTTTTTCCTCCCAGTCAGGAGTCAGGATAGGATTTGAGATAGAGATATTGTAAGATAAGAGTAGATAAAAAGCAATCGGAATGATCAGACTCCTGGGCACCAAAAAAAACATGATTTCAATCAATCTAGAACATGCTGGTCTTCGGTAGAGGTGTCGATCAAACTCTCTTTGAAAAAGAGTAATTTTTAATTAAATCTCATAAAAATAAAATTTGAAGGCTTAAAAAAAAAAGCAAGGGTCATTTCTTTTATAGGCAACTCATCCCCCCTCATTTTCTAATGTGGGACAAAAACAAAAGGCATTGGTTTAATTTTGTCTTTGAAGTATTTCTCATCTTTACTTTCTTTTTTTTATTGATTTATTTACTTATTTTTTTCTTGCTAATTTTTTAAAATAATTATTAATTTATTATTATATTAAATTTATTTAAACAGGTAAACGTGTGATAAACGGTTTGACAGGTCTCACCCAAATACGACTCGTTTATTAAACGTGTTTGGCGTGTCAACCTGTTTATCACCCAAACCCGCTTAATTTGTGTCAATTAATCCTGTCGTGTCAAATTATGACAGCCCTAGTTATCACCCTAATCAATGACCAATCCAAATTTTCCAATCAAACGGTAGAGCAATGTTATTTTGATGTAATTTATTGATTATATTTGCCGACTTAATCACTCTGAATTAATAGTAGACTTGGCTATTGTTGGAAACCATTACCAATTAAACAACTATAATATATTAAATTAATAAATTATATTTAAATAGTATTTTGATCCCCGTGTCTTTGGTACCATGCCTGTTGATATTGTTCTCTAAATTGATGAAAAAAATAGAAAAATTCTATTGATATCTTATTTGTTGATATATAATGTATCACAATTATTGAATTGATAGCGAATTAAGCTCAAATAAAATTGCTCGAAAAAATATGTCAGGATTGTTTATTTTTGAAATCGTTTGAAGGTATTCGGTCGTTCTTTGAAATTTGACATTTTGATCCAACTTAAAAAAATTGTGTGTGGAAGTAAGAAACTAAGAAGTTTTTTTTTTCTGCCTCAAATCTCCTACATAAGTCTTTGAAACAGGGGCCTAAAATATGCAAATTTCCAATGAAACCATGGAGTTGGTTGATCATCAACGTCAACTTTCAAAGATCTCATTTTCTATTATACTTCTTCTCCCTTCTCTCAAGTCATCAAACTACACCCTTCAAATCCATTGGAGGATCATCTATCTCTCTCTCTCTCTCTCTCTCTCTCTCTCTCTCTCTCAAGATGTCAAGCGTACAATGGAAGTCATGGACCGAGAATCCATCCAAAATTCTGTCATTACGACGTCTGGTCTAATTCATAACAAAAAGAAAAGACAGAACTCATAACACTTTTTTTTTTTTTGAAGGGAGTTTGACCCCTTAATCTCAAGAAGATAAAATCTTCACAAGATAAAGAATACCATTGAACTAAAGGCCCATTGGTCATAACATTTGCATACTATGTCTTAAATATAATGGTGCACCAGTTAAGGATATATGTGTGAATATTTTGAAGTGTTAAATATTAAAAAACCAGCTTTTACATAGCATGATTGATTAATTAGTAGAAAGAGGAGAGTAATCTATATCTTTATTATGATATGGCCTCAGTTAGTGATAGTGCATGCTCATTAATTGTGATATTTATAGGTTAGTGGTTGATTTATTGTTCATTGCTGTTAGATTTTAAGGTTGTAGACTCGAACCTCATTGTTCCTTCCTTGTAATAGTATCCGACAAAAGAATAAGATGAATTGTAAAATATAGGAGGTTATGGATTGGTTAAATATTATTATAGGAACATCATCAAGTCCTTGAGCTTTGTATTTTAGTAGATATTTATACGTTCTAACACATGCAATCAATTGGTGAATATACATTTCAAAGGTCCCCATCAGGCATCAGCACTCTAACGGGAACAGACGTCCAGAGTAAATAGATATCATCTGTAAAACAAATACATTTTCCCTTCGTTATTTTTCATTGAGGAGAGAGATAGATAGAGAGAGAGAGATTTTTTTTTTTTTTGGGGGGAAAGGGGAAGGGGAAGGGGAAGGGGAAGGGGAAGGGGAGGGAGATTTGAACCTTTGACCTCAAGAAAGTAAAATTTTTATAAGACAAAGAGTATTATTAGACCAAAAACCCATTAGTGAGAAAGAGAGAGTTATTGTTTTCTTAAGTAACAACCCAAGTTGGAAAAATATCCAACCCAAAAAAACAAATATCTTCTGTAAAACAAATATCATTTTCCCTTCTTGCTTTGTATGTGGGGAGAGAGAGGGAGAGAGAGAATTATTGTTTTCTTAGGTACGAACCCAAGTTGGAAAAATATCCAACCAAAAAAAACAACGTCCATCCAATCATTTTTTCTAGGTATGCTTCAATTTTCATAAAGCCCACCTCATACTACACACATATATACCAGCAAACATTATTGTAAAATAGTGTTCTCTCTCCTCTTTCTCTCTCTATCTCTTTCTCTCTCTCTCTATCTATCTCTGTGGATGTTGGTTATTATTAGTTTGTGAAGTTGAGCCTTGTCTGGGTGAAAATGGGCAGAAAGTGCTCACATTGTGGAACCATAGGCCACAATTCAAGGACCTGCACCACTTACAGAGGCACTGTTCTTGGTGGACTTAGGCTCTTTGGAGTTCAACTTGACTTAACTTCATCTTCTGTTCCCATGAAGAAGAGTCTCAGCATGGATTGCTTGTCTTCACCATTGGCCTCATCACCTTCCCCATCGTCTTCGCTTTCTTCATCTCGAGTTTTCATCAATGATTCCGAGAAGACATCTATTGGTTATGTCTCCGAAGGTCTCTCAGGCCGAATCCTGGAGAGGAAGAAGGGTATGCACTGGATTACCCCTTTTTGTGTTAATCTTTGCTATTTTACGTGGTTTATTGTTCTAGTTTCCTCACTTGGTTTTATGAAACAATATTGCTTGCTTCTAGGGATTTGCTTTAGGGTATTGCTGTATTGGTTGTAAGCTCCATCTTGGATTGTTGTGCTGTTGAAAAACATTTGCTAAAAATCATACATCCCCCTACCCCTACCCCTTCTCTTTTCATTTTTTTTTTTCCGTTGAAGGTCGAAGGAATGTGTTGGTCCAGAGACCACACACTTTCTCTGTTCGGAGTCACAGTATTGATCATCTATTGCAAGGGCTCTAACATGCGTCAATCAAAAGATCATAGAATTGTATAGAATATACTAGCTATAATTTGGTGGCGATAACTCAAAAACTCTGACATTAACTCAAAAATATTTTGCACGACTTGACCAAGTCAACTCTTGATTTATACGTATTATGGACAGTATCTCAACAGAAAGTTTCGAGTCAGATACAATTCGACCGAGTCATAACTGATACTTTGAACCTTTCTGAATGCTTTTTCAATATGGATGGATTAATTAGGAGTGCCATGGACAGAGGACGAGCACCGGGCATTTCTGGTGGGACTGGAGAAGCAAGGAAAGGGTGATTGGAGAGGAATCTCAAGAAACTTTGTGACTTCAAGAACTCCAACCCAAGTTGCTAGTCATGCTCAGAAGTACTTTCTCCGGCAGGCCTGTCTCAACAAGAAGCCACGGAGATCTAGCCTGTTTGATATGGTAATGCTATATGCTGTCTGTCCTACCGAAAAAGTTTTGGGGTTAAACAGTAATATTCTGTAAATTAGTAAGTGTTTTATGTCAATTTGGTGCTCATCTTTTCATTTTGTCGTTAGTCTCAAAGTTTTTACAATTCGGATAAAATTGGTCCTTAAAAAATGATTTTTAAGTTGATTAAGAACACACCTGAGGGGTAGTTTTGTACCTTTAGTAATCATTGGAGGGTTAAAATGTTTTTTTTTTTTGGAAAATAAACGAAAAATTATTCTCCAACCCAAAATTTTTAAAAGTTAAAAATTTACCCCTCAAATGTGATCATGTGACATGCACATGACCACTTCGTCAACCGATATAAACAGACCTTTTCAATTTGACAAATATGACTAAAATTTAAAGACAGAAATTCAAACTACAAAATAAAATAAAATAAAAAAAATTGAGAACTGAAATGATACAAAACGCGTATCTTAGAGACTATTACTGTTTTTTACCCTTGTTTTGCTCTTGGTTTTTAACGTTTCCTACCTTGAACTGATCAACTAATTTTTCTTCATGAACATGGCAGATTGGGAGCAACAATCCAGCACACAATGCTAAGAGGTCTGTTTCCAAGCCAAATGATCAAACTAGTCATCAATATCTTACCATAACATGCTCACATCATGAAACTCATCAAGACACAGAGATGCCTCCTGTATGCCTTAATTCACCTGAAGAATGCAAATACAACAATCAAGAAAGTGGCTACTCTCACCAGGTTTCCCACCATTCTGCCATGCCTATTTTTCCATACAGATCACTCAGCCCTGAGCTAGAATCTCCGATTGCAGCTATGCCGCTGAGTTCCAATTCTCAGAATGCAGATCCTGATCTAGAGCTCACTCTAGGCTCTTCTAGGCCAACGAATCAAAGTAAATCATCCTCCAGTTCCCAACTAATCAGCCCGATTATTGTAACATGACTTGCATATATTTTAAGAGAAACCAAAAAAATTACCATTTTGAGGTTCCTCCAAGCTTGACCTAATTAGCAAATTTATTGGTGTATAGTTAGTAAATCTTATAGAGGTACAACTTTTTTTTGAACTCTTATCTGATTTAACAGAATCTAATTATATACTTTCTGCTGTTGTAGTTCTAAGAGACATATAAATAAACTGAGAACTAGCACTTTCATATCGGTTCAATTTATCAGTCAAGGGATTTTTCAGCTTGCTGCTCGCTTTCTCACTTTATATCAATTTCATCTTTGCTAGCAAGAAATCAAGCAAGATACTGCAGCAAAAACTTAAAGTACCATGTCATGTTCATACATGACAGCAATGGCCTCCTCACCATCCCACATATAGAAAACACCCAAATTCATTTAGGTGAGTTTAACCAGGGCCTTAAGGGATTAACAATCTGAATTCCATGCTTCATCCTTCTGAAGCTTGTTACCATCTAAGAGTCTATCTACTAACATCAATTCTGGTGTTTGCAAAATAATGGGAAGTAACAGTGACCAAAAGGCTATTATCACTCAAACATGTTGGAAATTATATCGAAATACCCGAAATTTATATTGAAGTATCCTTCAAAAAGTTGATCCATACAAATAAATTAAAGATGCCATTCAAACAGACCCACTATATAAAAGTGGCCATTGCCAATACACATAGGTTAGGCAGTCTATTATTAAAAAGAAAATTGAGGGAAAGTTTATTAGACGGAATCTAAATCCCGATTTACAAGGCAGAAAATTTGTATTAATCTGGCTTAAATCAGAATTAACATTTAGGAATATGCCTGCTGAATGCAGTATTTCAGTAGCATCTTAGAGTAAGATACTCAGTTTTAATGCTTTATGTTCTTTTTACTTTGACGGATCCAATGTCTCTACTTGACTCCAAATTAAATAATAACTTGTACTGAAAAAATAAAAAACTACACATCCATGAAAAGCATTAGATATAAGACAAGAGTAGGCATAAATTGCCACATATAACAAGAACAATGGACCACTATAATTGTCTATTCTAAAGCCTCAATCATGCATTTAAAACTCAGGCCTGTGTCTTTTGGACCTACCCTCTGCAGGAAGAACACACGAAACAACCAAGCTTGAACCAAGTAAACTGTCGGTTAGTACAAATATGCATATATGTCTATCTATATATGTGTGTGTGTGTGTGTGTGTCACTAGAACAAATATACCTTTTGCAACGAACATTTCGTCGCTAATATTTTGTGTTTCTTTTCAGCCCAAAATTTTAGTTTTAAAAATAATCAATGGCAACCACATGTTGAAGAAATTTGGTTCGTGGCCACCAAAAAACTTCAGTGATGAGAAATCATATTTTTAGTGACAAGATTTTTTACCTCGAAAAGTGATTTTTCTTGTAGTGTATCTCCTGGCTTTTTTTCCGAACAATGCTCTAGCAACCTATTATTTGTGAATACGATCCATAAAACAAATGCTCAAGTTTCCTTTGCTCATATCACCTTCGGATTTTAGTTTAAATTATCCATCTATATACTAAAACATAACAACGATCTAAATTATTTAGATCCAATCACTTATATTGTAATTTTTTAACTACAGTAAACTCAGCAGAACAGAGAAACCAACTTGATAGAGTGAGCTAGGACCCCCTCTGACAAACAAGACAAATTCCTAAACATTTCTTGGGGGAGCATTTACTCACAGAGATTCATCATTGTTCAATGCAAAAGTCTTCTGGTAGCTACCAAATTAAGCATGTGCCAAAATTTGAAGAAAAAACAACTGAATTTTCATTAGGAGACATAGAAGTCCTCCTGCCATTGTCTCTCTATTTTAATATGACTAATCCTAGGTACAAGTAAAGATGCCTGATGAAATATCCGTAAATTTTGTTTCATACCCAATGGGATAAATATGTTATGGAATTTTTCCACATTCAAAGTAGTGTAACTCTCTCTCTCTCTCTCTCTCTCTGCCAATATTCACTTTTGAGAAAGAGTGACCCATGAACTGACAAACCTCAGTGAGGATAAAACTTTGTGCCCAACTTTGAGTGAACATCAACAAATTGTCCACTATATATGGTCACAGAGATATTCATTTATCGTTTCAAATATCTACCTTCCCTTCTATCCATCCATATATATATACACACAAATTTATATGGATCTCGATGTCTATATTAGTTGTCCATTAGTGTCCTAATCTCAGTTATCCAAGACTTACCCCAGACTTTTCTTTCTTTGGGAATTATTTTTTTTTTCAGTTGGGGGTGAGGTGGGGAAGAGGGACAATGAAATTCAGTAAAGCTAGAAAAATTACTCTCTGAAGTATTTTCTTTTCTCTCGATTAATCCCTTCCCCAGACCCGTTAAAGACATGTCATCTATACTGGGACGAAGATATTCATGAAAGATAAATCCCTCGTCACTTCTTGGCAATGGTATATTCTACAAGAGCTAGATTTTTTTCCTTTTGTGTGTGTTTTAGTAAGTGAGGCCACAAGAGCTAGATTTCATCAGTGGAGACTCTGCAAAGTGCAGAGTGTTATTTCCATGATTTCAGATATGTCTTTTACCATAGAGCAAATCAAATTTATAAATCTCTAACACTTGACTTGTTTAACAGTTTCAGAAACTTAGCATAAGTTCTCATCTATAAAAGTTTGATGGATCAGATAATATTGACCCAAATTTATTGAGCAAAAAAGGTTTCAATCCGCCTTTATATGACTCGAGAAAACACGTTTAGATCTCTCATTTGTGTATTTCGTAGATAAACCCACAGCGTAAAAATCACACTTCTTTGTGTTTCATCACTCAACAAGAATGCGCCTGCAAGTAGATGTGCACTAAATTTAAAGCCCAGTCCTGATGAATCACTTAGTTGGCTTTTTCTAAACCTCTTGTTAGTTATTTCTCATTCATATTGTCTTTGAGAAGACATTTAAGAACTTTCATTAATTGATACTCCAATTGGAAGCAGTCCTCAATTTATCATCCTTATTTTATATCCGTCCAAGAAGGAGATGAACCTATGCATGTATAATGTTGTCTAAATATGACACAACTTATAAATACGACACACGAAATTAGAAGACTTAAGTCTTCCTTAAACCACTCATTGCGTAAACAAGTGGATCTGACATGACACCAGTCATAAACGAATTTGATATAAGTAAAATCAATAAAAAAAAATATATGACACGACTCGTATATGTACTAGTTACATATAATTTATACATCATACGAACCTGATACGACATGATTCGTTAAACACAAATTAATAAATAAATCAAGTATAAATAAAATATTTTTCAACACGATTTTATTAAAACTCAATACGAATTCACCGTACTTAACAGGATTGATAGACCTATGTATATATGATCCTCTCCAGAAAGCTTGCCGTGGCAATGACTCGTGCACTGGCCCACTAGGCCAGATGAATTTTTATTGAGGACGTCAACATGGATGTAGACATTTTCCCACATGTATAAACCCTAGAGATAAGATAGATATGCTCATAAGATTTGTTTTATCTCATTTGAAACATCTACAACTACAAGTTATTAATTCTGTCTTTTTGTGGGTTGGATCAATTAAGGAGGACAAGGGAGGAGACAAGAAGTTCTCAGAAAATGCATGACCGAGAACTTGACACATGTCTAAGCTTTCCAACACTAGCCTAGGGATAAAAAAAAAAGAGAAAATTAATTAAGAAGCCTGTCTATAATAGAATTTCTGAGAACAAACATTTAAGCTTCGGGGTATCCGTACAGTTACTTTACTCCATTGTCGTTTTCTTAGGAAATATTAGCATGGTGATGGGATGTTCTTAGCAGCAGCAGCAGCAGCTTATATGGTAGGAGTCATCTTCCAGAATCCCACATCGTTTAGATGTGAGTGTATGATGAATTATTTAATTAATTAGGGAAATTCGTTTCTAAAAGTATGGTGTAATGTAAGTAATTTTGAAAGATATATTAATAATTGTTGCATGAGTCTATTTGAGAACCATCAGATAGACTCATTAAATTTTTTTGTTTTAATGTTATAGATTATAGATTTCACATCGTTTACAATGAAAGTGAGTGATAAATTGAATAACAAAATATTTAATGATGTACTAACAATAATTTTATTATTTATATAATAAATTATTGTTATTTATATGAATAAGACAGAACGTCTGTTTTGAACTGTTTTAAGCTAAAAGTATAACAACGATTCAAATCGTTTAAATTCGACAGTTTGTATTACAATTTAATTTTTTAACAAATGTAACTGGTTTAAATTTTAATTTTTAACCTTTTAATCACAATAACTTATTTAGCTTTTAACTGAATTACAAAAAAAATTCTTTATCTTTATGGAAAACAAAGATTTGAAGGGATCTATAATTTTCTCAATATTAGGTATGATTCATGGAATTGTGTAATAATCAATGCAGACGAATCCCGTAATCCGTCTATTTTCCTCAACCGGTGGGTGGGAGCCACATGAACATTTTTGTATATTTGGGGCAGGGCACTTCAAGACACAGCTAGATCCATCACTGCCCATCAGTATGTCCTAGACACTAGTTCTTTGCGTTTGAACCAAAGTTTACTTACCATAAAGAAAGTTAGGATAGTAAGGCAATGGCAGTACTGGACAAAGACTGGTGAATTTATATCAAACACCTTTTCAGTTTTTACGCCATATCACGTCCTTTTCCGAGGATTTGGTATTTAGAACAAATGGTCCGGCAGCCACAAATTCTTATTCAGCTTTGTAGGACACGAAGACAAACAACTTGTTGTCACTAGCTTTAATGCTAATACATTGTCACATTTGAGGATAAATTCTGGAAACTGGCGATCTTTAATGTACCGAACTTTTCTCTATCTCTTAAATGTCTATTATGTTCATTAAGATAAATTATAATGACAACTAAGGATGTAGAAATTTCCTCTCGGCCACCATCTGATAATCTAAAGATAACAAAGATTTGAATTGGAAAGTTTTATTGAAAAATTACTTATTTATCTTCTAAAAATGAACTTATTATCCCTTCAAAGACACAAAAGACTAAAGTTTGATGATGCACAAATTAGTTTGCACATTATTTGTCAAGTAAGCAGTACAAAATGTAGTAAATAAGTAGAGGAAGAGAGAAGACAAAATTTATAATGGTTTGGTTAACGTGACCTACGTCTACTTTGAATGACAAAAGTTGTCAGGTATATTATTAACTCAAGTGTGTAGAGAGAACATAGAGTTACAAACTTAGAGAAGAAGATGAGAGTTGAGCTCGAATGAGTATGATGATGCACCCAAGTGTTGGTGGGACTTATAATTTATAGTCGCCTCGTAACGCATAGTAATTAAATAATTAGTCTGTCAATCATAACGGATTGAGGTGATTTAATAGTAATTAAATAGCTGAACCGAAGGAGGCGGAGGTGGCGACCTCTTCTCAACGGGCAAGACAGTTACAATACTCTCCATAGGACTCAGTCAAAGGATGAGGTGAAAGTTGACTTCTTCCAAGATGGCGAAGAAGAGACTCTTGGGATAGCCCTTATTCCAAGGTAGTTAGGAGGAGACTCTTAAATGACCCTTACTCCAAAATGGCTAAAAGAAGGCTTTTAGATGACCCTTACTCTAAAGTGGCTAAGAAAAAATTCTTGGATGACCCTTTGTGTTCCCTATTAATGCAGTTCATTGAGCTTAATAAGCTTGACTAGGTTAATCATATTAAACTGAACTTGTTAAATTTCTTAGATATTAGCTATAAACTCGGACCAAGTTTATAATTTGAGCTAGACCCTTGGACTTGGCCCATCAAAGTCCATTAGTTCGTGATTTTCCACTTTCTTAAGAAAGTGAAAATACATTTGGAGTTGGGATTTATATTTGTGTGACCAAGAAGCTGACACACCTCCAGAGCTGCCTGGCTTGAGCTATTGCTCTCACTAAAATGTACGGTGGGACAATGAAGACAAAGCTTGTCATTTGCTTGGAAGAAAGAAACTGACAACCACCTTCTACGCTTTTCTTTTCTCTTGTCTTCAATTAATCCCCCACTTGCACCTTGTCTGTAAAGTGCATACGTGGGGACAAAATTCTCTCTCTCACGTAGAAAAAGAAAACCATCGCCTAATTTGGTACAATACAAAAACGATAAATTCAAAAAGAAGATGAATTATTTTTTTTTTAATTAATCAAATCAATCCCTCTAAAATTTGATAAAAAAAAGTAAAAAAAAAACTAAATAATGTTTGTTAAAATATGTTATTTGTTTATATATTATTTAATATATACATATATCATATTTATCAATTACATATTATATATACATTAATTTCATATATAAATATAATGATAAAATATATATCTATATTTTTTTAATAAAAAATACTTTCTCCATCTTATCAAACACAAAAAAAAAAAAAAAATCTTCTTACTTTCCATCCCTCTTATCTTACCAAACACTAAAAAAAACAGAAAAATTCCTCCCTTGAAAGATAAAAATTATATCACCCTCACTTTCCATCCTTCCATTTTTTCATCCACCCTACCAAAGACCATTAAAGTAAGTATGTTTTCAGAATTTTTTCCTCTACAATGGCCAAAATTACGGAATTACTATTTTTAACCTGCCCAGATAATTTGTATGACATTGTAATGGTTAGTAACTGGTGACACTGAATTAATTCACTTGTTCTAGCTGAGCAGGTTTGTATCGCCTGGTTTATGTGGCAACCACCAGTTACTGTAGATAATGTATTTTTTTTTATAATTTGCTCGAATTTGAAAAAAACTCTACTCTTCTTTCTCTTCTACAGTATTATTGCGTGAATCAAACCCCTTTCAAGCAACACGCATATAAGTTTATGGTTAAAAGGAGTAGAATAATGCAATTCATTTTAATGGATTATCATTATAACGTGACCCTATACATTGATCATTTCTACATCAGTTAAAGAAAATAAAAAAAAAACAAACAAAAAAGATACAAAGAAGAAAATAGAATTGGGGGAAAGGCGAAAATGAATTGAATTTACAATATCAAATGAACACTTTCTACGAAGTAGGCCACCATGAAGTAACACTGTGACCTGAAAAAGAAGATGATTTGTTGCATACAGATCATAATCATCGTGATCTGGATTTGCACCGGTCGCTATTTTTGTTGGCTCATTTGGTCAAAACTATGCACGTAATGTGGGCAACATATGAGGTGTTTGGGAATAGAATGCAAAGGTTACACTCAGTCAACCTCCTTTGCACTTTTAAGCACCTGTCCCCCCGTATATAAGAAGCCCATCAGGTAAAGGCGGAAATTTGCATTTTCTGGTTCATGCTCTTATTTATTATCATGAATCATGAGAGTCTTGGATCATCAATGTAATATGCTTAGCACTGTCTGCCCGCAGCATACCACCTTTAAATTCGATCTGGGGTGAGAAATCATATTCAAGTCGCCTCAAAACTTTTTACTCGGCAAGGATTTGGCAAAAAAAATAACAAAATACACCCCATGCATGATGAAGATTACCAATAACGCAAAATGTGAGAAAATAATTCAAAGGCAGATGATTACCTCGTTGGATATGTCAGGGGAGAACCACCGTAACAGTACTCCAAGGTGTACAACAGATGGAATGAGTTTGAAAAGCAATGATGTAGTCACCTGCATAATTGCTTTGTGAGCATACTTCAATACAGTCGAAAAAAAAAATAATTGGGGACTTAATTTGGGGTGAGTTGAGGAGGTTGGTGCCGTGCTAGGTCCATGAACATGTCCCACATTGCCTGGTTAGATAAGGTCATTGTGCTATATATGTAAAAAGTTCTGTTTTAATGTTGTGATATGTTTTAAAGCCATGAGGGACAATCCAAAACGGACAACATCACATGCAGTTGGGCCCGAGTCATTACATAATTGATCATTTGCATTTCTTTACTTAAAAGAAAGTTAATAGTTTGCAACAGGCTGACTATTAGTCTATCTGAGAAATACTGTTTAATGACACAAGCATTCATTTAGGATATTTGACTGCAAGCAATTCACATAAGGCTTCCTCAATAGAGTTGCAAATCCAAATTGTTTGCAAAACCATAGCTATTGAATACCTCAAGGCACAGATTTTTCATGGATTCATTCAGGGATTCAGTCTCTACACAAGGATTCAAAGTCAGGAATCTTGTTGGAAACTTCAAAACAAATATAAAAATTGCCCCTGAAATTAGCTTTGGAATAAAAGACCATGTTACAGCTCATATTCTTGCCACAAGCTGGTGACCACCAAATAAATGAGCAGGACAAGACAATTTAAATGGGTTACATACCAGGCTGAGAGCTGTTGTGCCAAGCAGCAGCAGATACAATTTATCCTGTAAATATCGACAACTTCCATCACTTCGTCTAATTGGATGCGGCAGATAAAAAGAAAACTCGTTATGGACTAAAATATACAGGGAAGAAGGTATATAGTGGACAATTGTTTTTTTTTTTTTTGTCTTTTGTGATTGCTTAAAATATCTTTTCCTTAAACGATAGCTGTTAGGGTTAATAGCTCAAAACAAAACACAAACATAGGCAAAGGAATCTTTCAAATCAAAACCCCACCTCCACCAGATGAAGATTTGAAGCACGACTTAGAAGAACAAAAGAAAATTCCCCAATTTGTGCCAGAGACATTCCAACCTACATGTAACAACTAAATAAGGTTCCTTTACTAATGGAACTGCAGAAAGATATTCAAAAGCACAAATTACATAACTAAGTCAATAGATGTGCATATCCTTACAAGGAGTGATGTCTTGTTACTGTATCCAAATCCCTTGACTACTGTGGCAGCCACAACAGTCTTTACGATGATCACCAATATAACGGCTGCCAGTAAAATATCAATGTGATTCCAAAGGAAATGAATATGTATAAGCATCCCAATGCTGGCGAGGAAAAGAGCAGCAAAGAAGTTGCGAATGGGCTCAACCTAAAAAGACAATGAACTCCAAATCAAGATTACAGACTCAGGGCAATTTGACAAGAAAGGGTCAGCAATCTAAACAAGAACAAGCGGAATACATCAAAGAAAATAATTTCAGAGGCTATAGATTTCATACCATCTTAATGGGTCCCAAAAATTTTTTGTTTTAAAAGGAGTATAGCTATTGATCTCACATGTAAGTAATAAACTTGGGCTACTATGCATACTGGTAGAGCATCCAACTCAAAACCAATTAACAATGAATAGAGATGTCCCTCAAATATATAAATCAATTTTGGATGATCCTAACCATTTGATGTAAGATAGAAGCTCTCCTTACACCTTTCCTCCCATGGGACCCGGACTTACGCGTGGGGCTAACAAGAGTTATTTAGCAATAATGCGGCAATTTTTAAACTATATTACTGATATTCGACACTTTTAAACTTAATTATCAAACTACGATATTTTTTAAAAGTGGAGTCAACAACACTTTTGTTTGAAAACATGATCAATAACCCCACTTTTCAATAAAAAATGTGATTAGTAGTTGCAGTGATCGCAGATGAAAAGCATGAAAGTGTGTTTACTAAACACACCTTTCAGCAAAAGCATGTTTAGTAAACACACCTTTCATTTGTTGCCCACAATATTTAGTTGTAGACATAATAGCTGAAAAGCATGAAAAGAGTGTTTACTAAACACATTTTTTGTTTTGCTTGCTTAAAAGCGTGTTTACTAAATATGCTTTTCACCTGTTGCCCACAAAATTTCCGTATTTAGATCACGTTTTTTATTTAAAAACTGGGTTATTGACTCTGCTTTCTAATAAAAATGGGATTGTTGAATCTGCTTTTAAAAAGTCTTGTAATTTAGTAAATAAATTCAAAAGTGTCGTAGATCGGTAATAAAATTTAATATTTGCCACAATGTAGTAAATAAATTGGGCTAGCAAAGAAACTAACCAACAAATATATAAACATGCATTGCATACCGAAATACAAATCAGTAAAAGAGTTGGCCCCCAGATCATTTCAAGGTCCAACTCTTATATCATATTAAAGAATCTAACCCAAAACCAATTGACAATGAGTGAAGAGGCCCCTCAAGGATATCTATACTTCTTTAAATTAACCTCCATAGTACAAGGGACTTTATTCAATTTTAAAAAGATCTAGGGGGTACATGATACCTTGCTCCTTAATAATGTATATATCATTGTTGATCCTAATCATTTGATGTGAATACAAGCTCTCTTTACATGTTTGAATTGAAGGTAACTATAGCTGGCTTTAGCCAGCTCTAAATATATCATGAAACTTAATGTAGGTGTAAGAAATCTTTAAGTGACTTGTAATATTCCACTTGTTATATGCTTTTGAAGTGGAGTGGAATTGAAAGGAACTTCTTTGGATTAAGTATTGCACCTTTTACTTGACAAATGTTAAATGATGGACCTGTGTAACTTTTAGGGAACACAATGAATTTGGAATTTTAAACTGGTAATCCAGGTTTTTATTTTCCCATGACTTGGGATTAAATTTCGAGAGAAAACATTAGAAACACTTAATTCATCTCCTGAAATCAAGGGAATGACAGTTTGCATATCAACTAGAAAGGGCACAAGTCAGAGATCAAATAATTCTCATAGTTGTGGTCTTTCCAGCATTTGCAGATTATGTGTAGCTAATTGCATGACATTACACCATCCAAAAAAGGGCATGACATTAGGATATTAATTGACCTGAAAGAACTCTTCAAATAAGTTTGAAAGTACATAAGGAAGGTTCAAGCATAGTTGTCCTCAAGAGTGAATAGAAGTGGTGTCATGGACTGACAAATCCAGAAGACAATAAATTAAATGTCCCAGTGACGATGAGATTTCATCAATACATGGTTTCCTAAGCCATTGGCCCACCTAACTGGATTGGAAAGAGATCCAATTGATGGTCTATAGTCTATTTGTGCAGCCCAATACGCCCATGCAAATTTATTTTTTATTTTAGCATCAATTTTTTATTTTTGACATAGTATGGCTATCTCATTAGTATCTTCATCTTTCTCAAGTTTTAACTGTTGACTGGAATCATAGTGTCATATGAAGTACTACTACTTTATAAATCTTAGTTAGAAGCCATCTTTTCAACATACGTTTTATGCACCAAAACCACAAATATTTAAACCACAGAACCATGAAGAGCATAAAGAAAGTAATCAGACAACTCCAAAACATTGTACATGAAAAACAATCAGAAACTCTTACTTGTTCAAGTGTATGATGTGCAAGACTAGTTGTGGATATCATCACTCCAGCAGCAAAGGAACCCAGCTCAAGGCTTAGACCCAGCTTATCACTGCACTGAAATGACACAGTAGTCCACATCATAAACGCATTTAAGATATGTATTGAACAAATGTGCTGATGTGTTGTTTGGAAGACGGCGAACATGATGATTATAAAAATGAAGAAGAATGATAGCAAGCCAATTGAGATGCAAGAATGCAGTTCAGTAATTGGGGAATGAGGCAAACCCAAGCAACTAGCAAGCAGAAAGCCACTGATGCCAATTGATATAGCTCATTAGTCTGCACAGATTTCAAAAAACATCACCATACAGGAAACAGCAGTGAAGGTGCAGATGGATCATTTTATGGAACAAAAGATCACCTGAGATGATAGGCTTATCATCAGCTTAAGAAACCAGGGAACACAAGTACGGGATAATATTGACAAAATGGCCAAGAATGTTATCAAAATCACCAACCTGTAAGAGAAAATAAATAATGGAATAGAACAAGCAAAGCAAAGACAATAAAATAAATAAATATTTGAATGAAACAGGAAACAAACTCGACCTATGGAAGCAAACCAAAAGTATCTTATAAAAAATGGAATAATTAGTTCACCAATTGTATTTTTTTAAAAATAAAAAGTTTAAATCATATACAAGTTGCATGACCACATACACACTTCATCTGTGAATATTCCTCAGATCGCATACCTGAAACAATCTCCAGACTACACATTCCTATTACCTTTCCACTAATATTCTTGCTCGAAGGTCAATACATAAGAGCCATTTTGTATCAAAATAAGGTGCTAACTAAAGTGATTATTGGTAAATAAGCTAAAGAGAATTGTTTTCAACATGACAGGGAACCACATCCTGTTTCAACATGAATTTCCTTCGTTTCTTAGTATCCATAGAGTGATAACTTGCACAAATCTTAAAATTCTTGAACCTATACATTACATGGTAAATATCACAAACCTAAAACAAAATAGGAAGATTAGATGAAAAATCAGCCCCAATAAGACAATGCATTGAAATCTGTACTTAGATTTAAAGTCAGTTCTCAAGAGGGTGAACCAACGCCTCAATCAAACATATCTTTACTTATGCAACAAGCCTTTACACAAAACACTCGTGGTAAAAATCATTCCACCTTAATGTGGCTCAGCCAGAACTCTTTAATTGAGTGCCAATAATAGGTGTATGAGCAGTTGAGCACCACTTCTACAGGGTCTATATACATAATTCAAAATTTGGAAAAACTTTAAAAGGGAAGAAAGTTTCACCATGTATGGATGATTCATCTAACCACAAAATCACAACATCCAGGAAAAGTTCTAAGCATTACTTGCATGTAATAGATTTATTAGTGTGTCGCATAGGCAGGGCACAGCAGTTGCATATATTGAGTTTGCATTTCACAATTCAAAACCTCTATTAAGGTTCTTTTACGTACGATTTTGTCATGGACACCATTCCCTGAAGAACACCAGAAGTACCACCCAAAATTGGAAGCAGTGCAAACAGCAAACCCACTGCACAATCCTGGCAGGCAAAGATAGCTCAAATACGAGGAGCAAATATTCTATGCAAAATTAAAACAAGGGAATTATCACAAGTGAGATAAATTGTGGTCTTTAATAATTGCATAAATACCAATCACAGCAGCATAGGATTTTTGTTTAGCTGCAATTCCTAACAAGACACAAATTAGTGCAAAGCAGATAGATACCTGTAGAATGAGGGTACCAATAGTGACCTGTCCATGAAGGGTACTACTACTATTTCTTTCCATCAGAAATTTCAAGACCTAGATCACAAACAAGATAAAGTTGTTCAGAAACATAGATGAATCAAACAATTTGACAGTAGGGTATTTTTAGTAAAGAATTGTACATATGAGTCAGATAGTTACCAGAATTCACTAAAACTGACAACCCACAATCTAGGTACATCAATCCCAAACGGGATGGGTTCACAATTCAGATCACTAAAATATACGATCCCAAATTGTACACGTAGCATAAATATGAAATACATATTTTGCGTGTATATAGATTTATAACTATATATTGTTTCTAATAATAAAAAATCAAGTACAAATGTAAGATAAATAGTACCTGACATAGCGTTTGTGAATGTTCTATGATATATAATGTTGAATAGTGATAAAAATAATCTAAATAAGAGTCCCAAAATGAATTGCGAACCAAAATACCGTACTAGTTAAGTTTACCCTCATCGTACCATGTAGCTAAGAAAGTATCGTACCATGTACCCGTACCCGTATCACGTACCAAAACGACCCACAATTCATGTAACATTGGTCCAGAGCCAAAATACAATAATTAATATTTATGCAACGAAGAAATAAGGGATTCAAAATTCACCTAATTAAAAAATCTCTACATTTCAAGAAGCTATTGTTTGGGAAATTTGTTAATTCTCAGTATTTCTGAACTACAATATTTCTCCGTGTTCATTGCTTAGTCAAGTTTATTAACTGAAAGGATGAGAAAGAGAATCTTATGCTGCCATCATGCACAATCCTGTCACCCATACTCTTCCTTCCCCCCACCCCCCCTCCCCTTCTCCATGTGCTTCTGTGAATGGGCAAGGGACCCAAAAGGAAGGAGGCCTCATTTAAATAACTAAGTTCTCCCTTTTCTTTTGCTGGAGGAGAGTCTATGAGAGAGAGAGAGGATATTTTAATTTATCACAAAGGGCCTTCGCTCCAAAATCCTTTGCTAGAAGGGTTTGAAAAAAAAGCCTATTGTGAGAGGGTTTCATCTGTCTGTTTAAGGCCCTCAAATCCTGAGAGGGCTAAGAATTATAATTTCTTTATCCAACTTGGGGATTTTAAAATCAAACCAGAACAAGCAAGCCTTGTCTAAATCATTTGGTGAATGCTTTTGAAACCCGTGATTCTGGAATACCATTCCGGACTCAAATCTCTTGTATAGTTCCTGCCCAATACAGCTTCACTACGAAAGGAAGTATTCTTTTCCTGTGGCCAAAAGAAACTAGTCAATCAACAAAAAGGCCCTTATATGCTTTTACGTCAGCATGCCAGAGTGTGAAAACAAAATTTCACAGTAGATGGAAGCCTCAAAGAAGACTGAGAAAGGCAACTCAGAAACACCAGTAGTAGATGATATTCTCAATTTAAGCTATATCCAGCAATTAAACCATTCAACATTATGAGGCAGATGGGAACTAAAAGCACTCACCATCAGCGCTGAATGATGCCGGAACCCAAGATATCACAGCAATTAGATACTTAATACATTCGTGATAGTAAGTTGGTTATTTCGAATGTATTTCTTTCTGATTTAACACCCGTTTGTCTGGAAGCAGGATGCTCTTGTAAGATGTTTCATCTTATTTCTGAGGTTTTATATGTAAAAGAATTATTCAGCTAACACAGGGTGAGCCAGATACTAATAGGTGTTAGAGTACAGATTTCTCTCCTACTTGCAGTAAATCAAATCTCATCTGATAGATAGTATTCTTACTAATCGACAATACAAAAGTTTAGCAGCCAAACATGAACTCAGCAGGTAAATGGTTTTAAATTAGTGCAAAGAGAGTTACCACCGCTGTTGAAGACATTGACAGGAGTGCACCAACAAAAACCCCCTCAGATGCTTCACCACCACATAACTGCAAAAAGCATGCAACTGCACATATCAGAATTCCCTGGCTACAATGAAGTGTATGGGATTGGATGGAAAGTTGATGACTATCAACTCTTTTGCTACAGTTTTGATTTATTATGATTATTGGTGGGCGGGGGTAGTAGAGAAGCTCATGACATAATGGAAACAATACTGCATAACTCCATTCCAGGAGTTCCCTTGATAATGCAGGCACATAGGATTATGACTGAAATAGTTCCTGTAATGGGAATGCAGTATCGTTCACTGTATACAAATGCGTAGATGTTCATAGAATTGGATTAAAAACCGACAACTTCACATATTGAGTATATATCAAGAAGAAACATACCAAGGCTGTTATCCCACACAAACACATAAACAGAAGTATCTGGAGCAGGCCTCCTAAAACAGCAACTGCTCGGACAACACGAAGCTGCAAATCATAAGTTGAAAAAATTTGTCAGAATGAGACATGAATTAATAAAATTCTATATCCAGGAGGAGAAACACAAGCCCACCTTAGTTGTGGAGAACTCCAGGCCCAATGCAAAAAGAAGAAAAATAACACCAAACTGAGCTACTGTTTCAACCTGCATGCCTTAATCTATGAGAAATTGAAAGTACTCCTTGAGTTTGTATATAGAGATATAATATGCAATGGCGCCTACACACTAATGAAACAAGGAAATCATAACCTATACCATGACTATAAAACAATAACCAAACTATGGAACAGTAATAACTAAGCATGCAATTCAGAAAACTCTGCTATTTGTCTTCTCCAATATTCTCATCAAAAATAACTGATGAGAAAGACAGATATGCTCCTCAATAAGTAGTAATAATATGTATATCAGAGGCTAAATATAAGAACTCTGTTGAAGCTTGGCCCAAACACCCAAACCTTTTGATAAAGGGTCACTAGTTTCACTTATGCACCCAGTTCTTTGAGAAGCCCAACATAAACCCAAAAAAATGTGTCATGCCTTAGCACTTAGAGCCACAAATCCCTAAGAATAAGGTTTTAAGCATCACATAGGGCATACGATGAAATCCAAAATGTCATATGAAACTATTCAGGTTCTTATAGTTTAGTACACTAGAGAAATCACTAATAATTTGAATTAAAAAAAATAATATTGTGGACCACAAAAGAGACAAAAGGCAATACCTGCACCATTTCACTGACTAAATTCAAGCCCCCTGGCCCAATTATTGATCCAGCAAGCAGATATCCAGTAATAACCTGCAAGATTTCATAAGTGCAGAAGCCACTCATTTCACAAATGAGATGGTCATAACCAAAGCTAAAGAAGGAATTCGTGTCAACCATCGGCATGCATCATCTATTCTATAGCTAAATAAAAAAAAATTACAAGGAAAAAAATAACTCGTCAAAACAGAAGTTATCATTAACGAAGTATAAGCAATAATGATGGTCAGACCGGTTGTCCAGCACAAGCAAAAGCAATGCCGCCACAAGTTGCAGAGACAATGACAACCACAAGATCTGATATCAATCTGCCAAAAAATAATTTGAATATTCTGAGCTAAGAAGTTGCAGTAACCATATATCAACTGTCAGCAGGACAGAAGGGAGGGGAAGAGAAAGAAAGCTCCACCTTAAGTCTAACTGTAGCACAGGAAATTTCGACTTGGCATTGGACATAATAAAGACATTGTCCTGAACAAAATTTTCCAACATGGAGTCAGATTTTGAGCTTAATTCAGAAAATATGTATCCCTAGTATATGCATTTAAAACATAGGTGAAGGCAATGACACACATAACAAATACCTTCCGATCTATCAATGTTGGCATATCTACACCCCGATTCTCATTATCCAAGTTGAAAACATCATGAAGTTGAAATGACCTAAGATAATAATCACAAGGTAGTCAGCAATACAAGGAGTTTCCTATGACACAAGACTTAACAATAGAAACGTACTTTTCCTTCGTCTCATTTTTCTTGGGCTTAACTCTAGCAACAGTTTCCAAAACTGCCTGACAATATCAAACAATCCACAAAAAGCATATTTAGTAAACACAATCAAACCGAAGACTCAAAGTTAAAAACAATGCAAGAGAGAAAAACAATATCTTGCTGTAGAAATGCCTCAAAACATGCATTCCTAAAATTTTAAATTGAGAGAAGTCACATAAACCGTAACCCACATTGGAGTTCTCTTTCTTGTATGACTAAGCAAACTATCTAGCCTCAATGCCAAACCCTCTTTCAGGAGTCCAGCTACAACACATAATGCTTATTATATCAACCAGGCACAGGCAACAAGAGTAGTCTCTTATCTACAGTCTTCCTCTAAGTATTGATGCCTCATATCTGCTAGAAAGTTTGCAGAGTTGGCTTCTCACTTTCAACTAATTTAATGACATTGAGATTGCATTTGTCGCTTTATGCCTTCATGCTGCCAACCCCTACTTGGAAGTATTGCACATGGTTTTCCAACTACCTCAACAATTAACAAGGGATTTAAATAGCCAGCCTTATCTGCCACCAATTCTCTGCAATGCCACCATTCTCGTTTGTTTTTCTACACAACTACGAACCCAGAATCTCGAGAGAGCTACTTGCGGCCCTTGTTAGCCTTTGGTTTTCCTCTAACCAGGCACAACCAAGTTCTGTCAGTGGTAGGAATCAAATTATATTTCGTTATAGTAGTCGTAGGCGTAAGGATTAAGAGTTATTTGTCATTATGTTTTTCAGGGGTTTAGTTGTCATTATGACTATTTATTTCGTTTAGAGTTCTTTTAGGATTTGTGGTCTCCCTATATATATAAATAGGAGATATGTTATTTGTTTTTGTAGACTTTGATTGATTATTGATATTGAATTTTCTTTCTAAAATTCTCTCTATTCTCATCTCCTTCTTCTTATTTTCTCATCTCTTTCTTCTTCCCTTCTCATCCCTAATTCTTCCCTAATACGATCTACATCAATTTGGTATCAGAGCCTAATTTCGATTCGTATAAATCATAAAAAATCTCAACAACGCTGTACATCGAAAAAAAAAAAACTGTTTGCACGAAATCACTGTTCACCTGCTGTCCAAAAAAAAAAAAAAAATCTCATCGTGCGCACTGTTCTAGTCTCGTTCCATAAAAATAAAAAAAAATTTCATCGTGTGCACTGTTCATCTCACACTGTTCTGGTCTTGTTCCATAAAAAATAAAATAAAAATAAAAAAAATAATTGTGCACTGTTCATCATTGTTACTGTTCATTGCGCCTGTTTTCGTCGTTGACCTATGTTGCTTCGACTTCATCGCTGCCCATCTTTTTCCTTGTTCCATCGTGTTAAGGAAGAAGACATTGGTTTTAACCCTTTCACCCCCATAAAGTTCTAGAATTACAGAAACCTCCCCAAAAATTCTCGAAAGTAACAGAATCACCCCAGAAGTTCTAGTAAATTACAGAAATATCATCTAAAAATTTCAGTATTGCAGAAACATCCCAACAGGTTCAGAAAATTACAAAAACATCACCCCAAAAGTTCCAAAAATTACAGAAACACCCCAAAAAGTTTTACACTTTGTAGGATCATCCCCTAACTTGTCAAGCATTCTCTTGGAGTTGCATCTAACACTAGGTACGAGTTCTTTTCGTTGAGAATTGGTGACTAGTATTTATATTTGTTGGTAAGTCAAAAAAAAAAAAACCTAAACTTTCTTTGTTTGTTGGTCCCGCATACCACCTTCATAACCTTCTTTATTTGTTGTTCCCACACACCACCTTCATAACTTAGCTTACCCAATTTCTTGTTAAATCCATTGTTGCTTGTCTCACGTTTATTTGAGCCTCTTTACATTAAGTTTGTTCTTATGTGTGACCATTTGCATTGATTTATAATTTTTATTACTTGGTTTAATTTTTAGTCTAGTCGGCCATTTACATTAGCCCAAATTTTACATTACATTCACTATGACCCTTCGTGAGCTTTCAGAATCCCATACTGCATTAGAACAAAAATTTGAGACCCTCACCATTGATATAACCGATACTAAACAATTAGTCGACTTGTTACGTGAGGAAGTTAAAGGAATGGGACAACAACTTTCTCAAGTTACTACTCAACTAGCCCAATTGACTAAGTTTATGGAAAAATGACCAATAGACTATGACCAGAGTGAGTCACAAGTTTCACCTAAGTCTAACCAAGTACCCAATGTTCGGCACCTGCCTCTCCCAATAGATCCTACGGACTCATGTCAAGGTGTCCAACCCACTCCGCAAGTAGCTCAGGGGAGCCGAATACAGCGTCCAGATAGGAAGACACCTCCTAATACCGCTTTTGGACGAAACATAGGTCGTAGGAATGTTCAGGAGGATCCCGCTGAGGTAGTCATGTCTGACTATTCAGCAGAGGGTGATATGGATGGTTATCGTGAGCCCTTCCGCCCACGTGCCAGATACCATAGATCTCCCCCTCCGCGTTACCATAATCCTCAACATAGGCATGTCCACAAAGAATCTAGGGATATCACACAAAGAGTCAAAGTGGACGCTCCTAGCTTTGATGATAGGTTAGATCCTGTTGCTTTCTTAGATTGGTTGGATGACATGGCTGACTATTTTGATTGGTATGATATGTTCGACAACCATCGGGTTCGTTTTGCCAAAATGAAACTCGTTGGTTCGGCTAAGAGATATTGGCAGGGAGTCCAATGAGACCAAGAGCGCCTAGAGGGACAACCTATTACTTTATGGGCTGAGATGAAACAAAGATTGCGAGATAAATATCTCCCTAGTTACTATAAGCGCCAACTCTTGGACAAGTGGATGAACTTGCGTCAATAGATCTCGAATGTGACTGATTACCTAGCTCGATTTGAAGAGCTCTTCCTGAGATGTGACATAAAGGAAGAGCTTTGGGTAACAGTTATAAAATTCATTAATGACTTACGACCTGAGATTAAGAGAGAGCTTAACTTACACTCTCCTGAAACGGTTGAGGAAGCATATTATAAAGCCTTAGAGATTGAACAATACCTTAGACCACCCTTTCAGCGTCAAATGCCTTCTCAAACCGGAGAATCTCAACCATCAAGGTCAGTCCCATTTGATCGGTCTCGAGGCGTCACCCAGTCAGGCCCTGTCACATCCAAGGGTAACAATTACCCCAACTTGAGAGGTAATACCACTAGGGGTCGAGATTCTACACTCACAGGTTCTTGCCAGGACAGTTCTTCCATAGAGTGTCACCGTTGTCATGGCAAGGGTCATATTGCTTCACAGTGCCCTCAGCGTACCTTGACCATTGACCAGGGATTAGAGAATTCACTTGACAGAGAGGATGTTAACCAAGAAGTTGATCCTTTGGATGAGGAACCCTTAGAGTTACTAGATGAGGGTGAGGAAGAGTGACAAACCGATGACACCTGTGTCAGTGTGATGCGATGTATCTTATCGACCCCTTTAGACACAGCAGCATGAAAACGCACCAGCATTTTTCATACTCTAATCCGATGTGAGGGTCAAGTTTGCAAGGTCGTTATTGATGGGGGAAGTTCATTGAATGTCATCTCTAAATCAACTGTAGCTCAGTTACAGCTTAAGTCAAAGACACACCCACAACCTTACAAAGTCGCATGGGTTGACAAGACCTCCTTACCAGTCTCACATAGATGTTTGGTCCCTATTCAGATGGGTGACTATTCAGATCATATATGGTGTGATGTCTTCCCTATGGATGTCGCTCATGTCTTGTTGGGTCGTCCGTGGCTTTTTGATCTAGATGTGACAAACTATAGGAGAAAAAATACCTATGTTTTTAAGCATAAGGAGAAAACCATTAAGTTAAAACTTATAAAACCCTCAGAAAGTAATACTTCAAAGCATAGGTCATCTTCCCCAGTAATTCATAAGAAAGACCTTCACATCTTGACCCATAGAGAATTTGAGAAAAAGAGAAAAGAGTCTGGTATAATGGTAGCTCTAGTTGTCAAAGAAGTTGTTCAAAGTCCTCTGGAATCTAAAGACGATCTTTTGCCTGAGGTTGATAGTCTATTGAGAAAGTTCTATGATGTGATTCCTGAGGAACTACCCGATGAGTTGCCACCAATGAGAGATGTTCAGCATGTTATTGACTTAGTTCCAGGATCTCAGTTGCCCAATCTTCCCTATTATCATATGAATCCCACTGAGTGTGCTGAACTCCAAAGGCAAGTAGATGGACTGTTGCAAAAAGGGTCTGTTCATCATAGTCTTAGTCCATGTGTTGTCCCCGCTTTGTTGACCCCTAAGAAAGATGGCTCTTGAAAAATGTGTGTTGATAGCCGTGTCATTAACAAAATTACAGTCAAGTATCGATTTCCTATACCGAGACTTGAAGATATGCTTGACCTTTTGGCCGGTGCACTTTGGTTCTCCAAAATTGATTTGCGCAGTGGTTATCATCAAATCCGAATTAGACCAGGAGATGAATGAAAACCTGCATTTAAAACCCAGGATGGACTTTATGAGTGGTTGGTCATGCCTTTTGGATTGTTTAATGCACCTAGCACATTTATGAGGGTTATGACTCAGATACTGCGTCCTGTCCTAAAAAAATTTGTGGTTGTTTACTTTGATGACATCTTGATCTATAGTAAGTCTAAAGAAGAGCATTTGGATCATCTTCGACAGATTTTGCGGACATTACGTGTGAAAAAATTCTATACAAACCTTAAGAAGTGCTCCTTTATGCAAACTCAAGTGTTTTTCCTTGAATTTGTTATTTTTGCGCATGGTATTTCAACTGACCCAGAGAAAATTCGTGCTATTAGGGATTGGCCAGTGCCAAGAACAATTTTTGAGGTTCGAAGTTTTCATCGTTTGGCCACCTTCTATAGACGAATCGGATTATATTTCGTTATAGTAGGCGTAAGCGTAAGGATTAGAAGTTATTTGTCATTATGCTTTTCAGGGGTTTAGTTCCATTATGGCTCCCATCACAGAATGCATGAAAAAAGGGGAGTTTCAATAGACACTTGCTGCAACTAGAGCCTTTCAAGAAATTAAGTACTGGATAACAGAGTCACCTGTTCTTCGACACCCAGATTTTTCTAAGGTGTTTGAGGTTGCCTGTGATGCATCTGGTGTAGGGATAGGTGGAGTTTTGAGTCAAGAGGGTCATCCTATTGCTTACTTCAGCGAAAAACTCAATGAAGCTAAACAACGATACTCTACATATGACAAAGAGTTCTACGCAGTGGTACAGGCTCTTCGCCATTGGAGGTATTATCTATTGCAATCTGAGTTTGTGTTATATTCTGATCATTAGGCATTAAAATACCTTCATTCTCAGAGAAAATTGAGTGTTAGGCACATTAGGTGGGTTGAATTCCTTCAGGAGTATACTTTTGTTCTTCAACACCGAGCGGGCATTGAAAACAAGCCTGCGGATGCTCTTAGCCGTGTAGTTACTATTTTACAGACGATGAGTGTCCATGTGATTGGCTTTGACAAGATTAGAGATGAGTATGCCTCTTGTCCTGACTTTGGTATCATTTTTCAGGAGGTTCAGTCTGGTAAATATCATGAGTACATTGACTTTCTCCTTAGAGATGGTTACTCGTTTAGAGGGTCGCGCTTATGTATTCCTTGTACTTCACTTAGGAATTTCCTGATTTGGAAATTACATGCGAGAGATTTGGCAGGCCACTTTGGTAGGGATAAAACATTTGCACTTGTTGAGGATAGGTTTTATTGGCCCATTTTGAGACGTGACATTATTAGGATAGTGTCACAGTGTCGCACTTGTTAGTTAGCAAAGGCTAGGAAACAAAACACAGGGTTGTACACACCATTACCAGTTCCACACACACCATGGAGAGACCTTAGTATGGACTTTGTCTTAGAATTGCCTAAAACAACCCGTAATCATGATTCCATTCTAGTTGTCGTGGATAGGTTTTCTAAGATGGTCCATTTCATTCCTTGCACTAAGTCTACTGATGCCTCACATGTATCAAAGTTATTTTTTAGAGAGGTCGTCCGACTACATGGATTGCCTATTTCCATTGTGTCTGATAGGGATGTTAAGTTTGTGAGTTATTTTTGGAAGACACTTTGGAAACTCTTTGGAACTAGTCTTAAGTTTTCCTCTGCCTTTCATCCCCAAACTGATGGTCAAACTGAGGTAGTCAATTATAGCTTAGGAGATTTGCTTAGGTGTCTAGTGGGTGAGAAGATGGAAAATTGAATTTGTTGTTGCCTACTGCTGAATTTGCCTATAATAACTCCGTCAACAAGTCGACTGGTTTATCCGCTTTTGAGATTGCTTATGGTCATTCCCCTAGACAGCCCATTGATTTATTACCTTTACCTCCTGATTCCCGCCCCTCACACTCAGCCGAAGTTTTTGCCCAGCATATTCATGACTTGCATGCCGACATAAGACAGAAAATTACATTAAGTAATGAGAATTATAAATTGGTTACAGATGTTCATCGTAGGAATAAAGAATTTATTGTGGGAGACTATGTCATGGTTTGTGTGCGTCCTGAACGTTACCCTAAAAATTCTTTCAAAAAGTTACATGCTCGAGCCACTGGCCCTTTTCGTATTCTTCGTAAGCTTGGACCTAATGCATATCACCTTGATTTACCATCGAATATGAGTATTAGTCCTATTTTCAATGTGGAGGACTTGTTTCCTTATCATGGTACTTTTGAGCCTCCAATGTTTCCAGCAGGTGTTCCTACAGGTGGACTTGCTTCGTCATCAACATCAACTACAGTTCCTATTCTTCCACCGTTTCCACCACAACTGCATGACCAGATCGCAAATGTACTTGATGATCAGATTGTGGGCTCCTCAGATAGAGGATATCGTCGTTATCTTATTCGGTGGAGAGATCGTTCAAAGACCGATGATTCATAGATTACTGAGGAGGAGTTTCGTCGGCTTGACCCTGATCTTCTAGAGCATTATCATGATCGTATCTCTCTGAAGACGAGTTCTTTTTAGCCAGGGGAAATGATAGGAATCGGATTATATTTCGTTATAGTAGGCGTAGGCGTAAAGATTAGGAGTTATTTGTCATTATACTTTTCAGGAGTTTAGTTGTCATTATGACTATTTATTTCTTTTAGAGTTCTTTTAGGATTTGTGGTCTCCCTATATATATATATATATATATATGAGATATGTTATTTGTTTTGGTAGACTTTGATTGATTATTGATATTGAATTTTCTTTCTAAAATTTTCTCTATTATCATCTCCTTCTTTTTCTTTTCTCATCCCTTTCTTCTTTCCTTCTCATCCCTAATTCTTCCCTAATACGATCTACATCAATCAGTCAGCTGATTTTTCAGGCTCTACTTAGTACTTATTCTATATTCACTTATCTGTGTCACGAAGCGTTTATGTAATTATGTTTTTAATGACTATATACAAATATGTGCATATATAATTAGCCCACTCATGGATTTCTGCTTAATGCCCAAAACCTAACATGTTATCAGATTAGTCGAAAACCATAAATCTATCTTCTCCCATTCAAATGAATGCTATTTGTTTTTTTTAGTCAAAACATCAACCACCTAACAATTTGTTCACAGTTGGCACGCACTAAGCTGCATGTCAATGCCACCCATAATCACCACAAATGCAAAGCCCAAACTTTGCAGAAACAACAACCATATTGGTCTATCTAACAACTTTCATAGGACAACCCATGCCAAAAACAGAGAAGAAAAAAGTCCTAAAGCTTGATACGTTCCGGATTGTTTGTCCATCAGCATAACAACCCCAGCAAAGAGGAGTGCACGTAAGTTTAACACATTAAAAAATAAAAGGAATGTAGACTGAAAAGGTGGTGATAAAGACGTCACAATTTTTGTTTTTACGAAGATTACAAAATATATATGTCTTGAATAGCAAAAAAGGATCTCGTGGCTCATCCATGGACTTGTTAAAGGTTTGTTGCATTGAGAAAACTATCATTGACATGTTCACAAGTTTGGGATCACAATTTTCCATTACGAAAGATAAAGTAGACATGGTTCAAAGTTGCAAGATCGGTCATCAACTTGGAGAGCTCTAAGACACATCGGTCGCAGCGTTATGTTGTAGTATCGCAACGTTATGTTGTAGTATCACGTGATACGACCTAAAAGAAATGTTGAATATAATGACAGATTGAAGTCATACCACAGTGTTGTGAAACCGTATCAGCCGATTTGGTGACAATAACTGGACGACTTAACCGAGTCATGCAAGACTTAGGGTTTATACATATCATGTAATGATATTTCTATGTCATCTCATAAGATATTGAGTCTTCGTGTTTATTTTTATAAGCATCTATATATTGCTTCCATAAATTATACAATTTGATTCAATTCAACAATTTACGGAATTATGAAATTGAATATATCCACAACAATAACCAAAGGGTATGGAGTTGGCATTTACTACACATCACAATAATCGACTAAAGACTTAAATACATGCATCATGCATGTGAATCTAGCAAATGTGACATGTGGTGAGCGGAAGGTGGCATGTGAAATGTGCATTTACAATGCAGCATTGCAAGAAATGCATGAAACAAAACATATAACAAAATAAGAGTAAAATATAGTGACTTGAACTATCTATTAAGTGCTGGGACCAACTTTTGGGCAAAAGCTTTCTTGGGTACGTAGAATCAATGAATATACTCGCACTAGCCGGATTCACTATCTCAAACAGAGCACTTGTTGTGTATAGTATAGAGATAAATGATGAGCGTATTTATAGCAAAAGTACTCAGATAGACTGGGTTGCCCAGTAGGCTATCCGCGACTATATCATACAAAAGTCAACGTCGTGCGTGACAATTGTGCCTACTTGTAACTATGTTTCCTCGGATACAACCTAGACCCAGTCTTTGAGAAAATGGGCACATTCCCTAGGTAAGGAGACATTTAAGGTAGAGGATCGCAACAAGGTCACTATGGGGACTGTGACCACAAGAGGGTCATGGCCGTGGTGCACTCTGTGTGCGTGTACTGTGGGGTCTCCCGTCCTTTCGCAACCCCTCTCTGACGCATTTGCTTTAGCTGCTCATTCAAGAACCTCACATAATTTTAGTCCTTTAATCATCACTCTACATGTCCCATCATCTCGTATATTGATATAAACCATTAACCGCTTTTATCTTAGGAGTCTTTCCAAATCCTTGTAAAACACAACTTACTGAAAGTACCCCTTGAGAATTTGCTATCCTTGGGATTCTAGCTTTATGTATTTACTTTAGTGGTGGGAAAGGTGGACTAACACGCCTGGGTTGCCCCTAAACCCTCGCAATGTCAGTCTTGCCCTGTTGGACAAGGATCCATTTACTGTTTCAGCGGTGAAAAGGATTTGCCTCCTCTCCCCTCCACGGTGTTGACCACTTTCTGTGGTTATTGGTCACTTACCGTGACCATTGCCACGCGAGGGTGGGCCTGTCCCACCACATCAGTATGCGCCTCCTCGCCCCTCTGTGGTGTTGACCACTTACTGTGGTTATTGGTCACTTTCCGTGGCCATTGCCACGCGAGGGTGGGCCTGTCCCTCCACATCAGTTCGTGGCCCCTCCTTAGACTTGCCACATATCCGCCTATGGTTCCATGTGTCAAAATTTCATAGGCTACTGCACAAGTTTTATCTAATAAAAAAAATTGAATTTTGGGCCCGGGAGTGAAAACCTGTTGTCCGGCGACACTGTTGTTGAAGCTCCCAGGATCAGTAGCTGTGAGAGAGAGAGAGAGTTAACCAAAATTAAAAAAAGCACATAATATGTGAAATTCAGATACGGTCAAGTAATAATATACATAAAATTCACCAAAATCATATCTATTTACTTTGAAATTACTAAAAGAGAAGGAAGCAAGCAAACTAATCAGTCAGACATTGAAATTCAGCAAATTACACCACATACAAACAATGCCTACGGAGATCAATTTCAAATTTTCAACATTAACCTATAATCACTGAAAATACCTGCAAATTCAAAACCCTAACACATTATTTCACCAAATAAACCCCCGACTAAAACTGCACAGACACCAAACCACGAATACAATGAAAACTCAGATCTAACTGACCTTCGGACTGTTCATTGGTATCGTTGAATTCCTTATTCAACGCTCGATCGAACATATCAGCGAAGCTGCTTTCCTTGGATCTCAATTCACTGACATTAACGGCGCCGTTTTGAAGCTTCGAATCAGTGGCTTCGCGAGAGTGACAGTGAAAGAGTAGAGAGAGAAGACAGACAAGATCGAGAATGAGGAACGTTGAGAGTGTTGACATTGTAGTTTTGGAGAGAGAAAATGTTGAGAGCGAGAGGGAGGGGGAGGGTTAACTAGTCGTCGTCGATGATGGCTTTACGGGAACGGAGGGAAAAGGAGTGGATACTTTAGCTTGGAATAGAAGTAGAGTGTGAAAGTACGAAAAGGTCCCTTGGTTTTCGCTGTTGTGATCTGAGTGAGATGGGAGTGCGTAGGTCCAATGTTAGATGCGATGTCAGAGACTATCTTGCGCGCGCTGGGTCGGGGTGGATGAGAGGACTAGACCACATTGACGAAGAGCACAAAAACGTCAATGTTTCAAAACAATGACAACATCACTTTTTTTTTTTTTGTTTGAAAGGGAAAGGGAGGTGAAACTTTAATCTTAAAAATATAAAGTGCCAATAATTACCATTATACATGAATTCTTTTATAGTGACATATGATATGCAAACTGATACACATTTATTTATAAAATATTAATATAAATAAAATATAAAAAATTAAAATTTTATATATAAATAAATTATTATTTTTTTTAAATATATGTTAATTATATAATCTTAAAACAATTATTATAATTTATAAATATTATTCTAAATTTAGTAAGTACATTTAGATCTAGATCAATACTTTTCAAATAAAAATTTGAATAAAAATAACTAAACATATAAATACATAAGAGATCAAATTAATTGAATTAGCGAATTTACGGAGAATTCACGCTCAATGCACGAATTCGAATGTGAAGCGCAAGAGCCTTAAGAATTAAGAAGAATTATGTGACTAATTAAATGAACCTAGCCGTGGGTCCACTTTGATTTAGTTTTAAGATGTATTTTTATATAAATTGCAAAATGAAGTGAATCTAATTATAATTTTAAGCTCATTTTTATAAATTATTCCAATATAATTTACATGTGTATTGATTCAAATAATCTCGTCTTAATTTGACTTGTAAATAATTTTAATTTTATTCCCAAACAAATCATAGTTGCAAAAATAAATAAACTCAAACTATCTCTAAATAATTTCAAGTCATGTACACTTGTTATCTCTCGGTTATCTTAAAAAAAATTTAAAAATGTAAATTTATGAGATTTATCTTTACGATTTTCTTATAAACTGTTAGAAATGTAAATTTTCAAGATTTGATGAAAATATAATTATTATAGGATTTATTATTCAACTATACAATTGAATTCTGATTTTATTTTTAGCTCAAATTTGATTCAAATACTCATAAATTTGCAACGAACCGAATTAAGTAAGAATCTTAAGTCTGCATTGAGTTTGGCTAGTCGAAAGTTCGATTTAAACGGATAAAATTGTATTATTCAAATTTGTTTATTAAATTTTATATCTTAAATAAAATATCAAAATTTAATACATTAAATATTTTATGAAATTAATGAACACACCGATACAAATTTAGGAAATAAATTTGTAAGCATTTGAACTAAAATTGTTAATCAAACTGAGCTGCTCGAATTTGGGCTTGATTTTGGCTGATTAAGGCTTGGTTCGTTTTCTAAACGAGTTTGAACTTGAACAAGTTTTTAGACATATTTAAAAAATAAGTTTTACAAGCTCGGCTCAAACTCGACTCGTTTATGTGTAAATACTTGAATTTGGCTAAAATTCGTTTGAATAATTTTTAAAACTCGATTAAAAAATATATTTTTCAAGCTTGAGACGAATTCGTTCGATTAACGGCTTAATTTGAACACGTAACGAAAGCGACTGGTCGCGTGTAATAAGAGTACTCCCTGGTCCAGTGGTTTGGTGGTCAAATATAAAATAATAATAAATTCAACATCAGCATTTAGAAAATGATTGTGACACTAGTCAATAATTGCACCGGGAAATTATTGTGAATTATTTGGAATTTTTTAGGAGCATAGCTTTGAGCTTTAATCAAAGGCCACTGCAAGAAAGTTTATTAGCCAATGAATAAATGTAATTGTTTTAGCGGTTAGTATAATGGCTCCCATTCTACTGTTAGATTTTTAAGTCGTTAGTTTAAACTTTATTCTTTTTCACCCTTGTAAAAGTGTCTGTCAAAAATAAAATTTGCAAACTAGCGTATTGAAAGGGAGCCCTATAACTTTAGTATGTTGTTTTTTCTTCCTAGTTTAGATTTTATTACTCTAAACTTTAATTTTATTAATTTTATGCTTTATCTGCGGTTTATTTCTCTTTTTTGGTTATTTTAAAAAATAATATTATTTAAACTTAAAAATTTAACATAATTTATTGATTTAATTATGATGATGCCAAACTGATGTGTGTGAATAGAGTGCGTGGGACCAATGGTGAAATTAGGCTGTCAATTTCGTAATGACAATGATGAAGTGTTTCTTAGGGGATAGGAGAATTTGCACAGTTCGAATATAGTGATTCACCAGTTCTAGAACTCGGCTAATTCACTATCAAATGAAGGTTTTTGCTCCTTTTCTTCTCTATTGATTATTTGAATGTAATATAAGACAGTGCACAATCCGATTAGGGTTCTTTTTTTCTTCTCCCCCTCTCGATGAGACATTACATAGTATTTATAATGATGTCCCCTATTCCGTGGGATTTCAGCCGAGATCTTTTCTCATTATTCATGGGATCCTCCTTGATTTTAGGAGATAATCTTAGTTGGTTGAGAGTTTCACGTATAGGGCCCAATTTTCGCAGTCATTCAATTATTTCTTAGTCGGTTCAGTTATGATCTCCCCAAGGGGAAATTTATTTCTGGTTCTCTGAGTTTCTCGTGTCTTTCCTGACCTAAAACTCACAACTAGAACTTGTTTGAGGTATCATCAAATTATGTGATTTTAATAAAATTATTGGATCAATACTAAATTCTAATATTTAGTGGGGTTCACAGTCAATTCAAAGAATTAAATTAACAAATTATTTTAATAAATTAAATTTCACTAGCATTAATCTATTTAAAATGAGAAAAGAGTGACCAGTAGATAAGAACCTCCTCTTAGGTATGACCATATGGATCTCCACTATGAAAGATCCCATTTGCACTATAAGAACTGACGTAGAAGGATACTCCATCACTATATCGTCAAAATTAAATAACAAACCATATTATTCTTACTGATCGACCCTGTTTGATAAACTCATGGGAATCCAGGACAACTATACACGAGATATCAACTGACCTGGATTTTTGTTTCTACGTTGACAGATTTTCATCGTTATTAATATATCAGTTATAACTCATTTACGAAGGTACGACGAAATATAAAATTTAAATATTTAAAAAATTGATCTCATTACATTAAATAATAATTTGTATTTCCTTCATTTATTTGATTATATCATTTAAAATTTATTTTAATCTATTATTTTTAAAAAATATTAACAAAAATACGTAATTCGATAAATTTTTTCAATATATGTATACAATCATGTATGGATAATATCTAAAATAAAAATTACGTTAAACTATAAATTAATTAAATATTAAATAATTAAACATGTGATAGAAATAAGTGATATGATGATTTTTAGAGAAAAATACGTATGAGATAAAATTTAAAACACCAAGTTGTTTTATTATACATATGAGAGATACAATTGTATATAATAGGTTACATTTAAATGAATAATCCATAAATTTAATAGGAGAAAAAATATACTGGAGTCGGACCAAAATTAAGAGATACCTTTATACTTACTTTTATTCCAAGTTTAAGCTCCATCGTCTCACCATCCATCATCACTGCCTACCCATCAGGCCACAGCTAGATTCTCGACAAACAGCCACCCTCTCTCCTCAAACCATGGCAGTGAGCAACAACCTGACAGCAATCCTGAACTTCATAGCCCTGATTTGCTCCGTTCCCATAATTGCCGCTGGCATCTGGCTAGCTTCGAAGCCGGACAACGAGTGCATCACCTGGCTCCGGTGGCCGGTCGTCTTCATCGGCATTCTCTCTCTCCTAGTCTCCTTACTCGGGTTTGTCGGCGCGTACTGGAACAAGCAATCACTCCTGGCTCTTTACCTCTGGGTCATGGCCATCCTCATAATCCTCTTGCTCGTCTTCGTCGTCCTCGCCTATGTTTCCACGAGCCCCACCGGCGAGTATGGTGTTCCCGGCAGGGCCTATAGTGAGTACAGGCTAGATGGGTTTTCACCATTGTTGAGAAACCATATCACCAGCTCGGAGAATTGGGGGAAGATAAGGGCTTGTTTGGCGGCGACTCAAGTTTGTCCCAAGCTTAGTCAGGAGTATATTTCTGCTGAGCAGTTCTTTGCTGGTCATATCTCTCCTGTTCAGGCTAGTTCTTTCCTTCCTCTACCAATTATTTTTTCGGATTAATTGCATGGAAGATGCTCAAAAGTATGGTATTTATTTTATTTTGGTTTTTAATGTTTCAATTATATTATTTTAAATATATTTATGTGCGATCCGTCAAGCAGGTAACATTTAAATTGCTAACGATTTTCTATTTTAAACTTGTTACGTAATAACTAAATATGAGTAAAAAAATAATTTAGATAATTTTTGACTAAATTTTTATTCAAATTTTGGTCAAAAAGTTACTAAAATTACACAGTTTTGATTATGAGCTATTCAAATTTTGGTCAATAGTTACCTATATTACATAATTTTGATCGAAAACTATCTAAATTATGTTTTGCCCACACAAATTTATGTTAAAAAATCATTAGTAATTTAAATGTTGTCTGTTTAAGGGAATACATGGAAATATATTCAATACTTTAAAGACCAAAATATTGCAATTGAAATATTAGGGACTAAAATTTGATTTTCTTGCATTAAACCGTGATAAGTTTGTTCAGCTAAGGTCAGGATTTGTATCATTATACAATGTTAGATTGGGTGATTATGTTAGTGGGCCCATGAACAATACATATCCTAAAATGATAATCTGGTCTCTCTGATAATACTTGAACTTCGACTCAATTTAATTTCAACTATTTCACGTATTAGAATGACAATATCTAATGGATAAAATAGTTCTATGTGTTCTAGCCTCCTTGTTAGGTGTAATTCTTTTTTGAATCAATAAAATCTCCCGATACCGTCGAAGTTCAAAAAAAAAAAAAAATCTGTGTTCTAGCCTAATGGTGGGTCATTGGGGGCATTGGTAACCTTATGTTGTCAGCTATAGTAGCAAACCTGTTTCGAAATTTGGAGGGTAAAATTGAGGAAAGTTTGCACCCAACACAATCAATCTGAGTGAAATTGAGATTATATATGTTTCTTATCCCTGATCATAAAAATAATTTTATGCATGTAGCATTTAAATTTTCTCAAGTTGGATCAAATGAACGAGCATAATCCAACCGCACTCTTATAAACAATAAAACAATCCTAAATCAATGACACACGAAAACTCAATCCTCAACTTCAAAATATTAGGAGTAAAGACTTGAATTTGTTTCATTGGCCGGACCAAGCTTTAGGGGAGGGTATAGAGGAGAAGTAGAAGTGGGGACGGTAGGGAAATTGGTTGAAGATCCTTGGAATATAGACGTCAGGCGCTTTGGTTTCGCTCCTCAAAACTCATTCGACTGAACTAAGGGGATCAACCACAACAAGAAAAGAGAGGCTCGTTTCATGTTAGTCCTTTATCTATTTTTGACCAACTGGTCTAAAGCAACGTTCAGGTCTTTGTGTTCGTGACGCCTAGCTACAAAGGACGAGCAAGTGCCACATTACCTTATGCATTAGCTGCATATTCACTCTAGACGAGTCAAGATGTACTTTAGCGTGTGTGTGAAGTTCAGCCAAGTCCAGCACACAATTCTCGTCATACGGTTGTGTTTGTTAGTCAACTGGCATGCGTTTCAGTCCAGTACTGGTAATTCTTTTGCCTTTTTTGTTACATTCTTGATATACTTTTCTTGTGTTTACAGTCAGGATGTTGTAAGCCTCCAACTATTTGTGGATACCAATATGTGAACCCTATTATGTGGATCAATCCAGTGAACCCAGTTGGTGATGCAGACTGTTCTATCTGGAACAATAATCCAACCCAATTGTGCTATAATTGTGATTCTTGCAAGGCTGGTCTACTAGGGAACCTGAGAATGGAATGGAGGAAAGCTAATGTGATTCTGATAGTAGTTGTGGTGGTCCTCTTATGTGTTTATCTTATTGCATGCAGTGCATTCAGAAATGCACAACCTCAAGAACTCTTTCAACGAGACAAGTAAGGTTGGGTTCAATCTAATTCTCAAAAGACACCCCGCTTTTCCTGATGACCAAGAATCATCTCAATCACGTTTGTAACCAAAAAACCATGTGGCTTTTGAAGTGGTGGTTGTCAAGTGAACTCGGGTCACGAATAATCATTCAATTTTGCATAAGTGATGGTTCTGATGCGTGTTACTTTATCTCCTATAGAGCAAGTCTCTTTAAATCCACTGAATATATTCCACTGTACCATTCCATCAAGATTGATGGGGGATTGTTTTGAGTTGGCTAATGCATATTCTTTGCTGATTACAATGAAAAGAACAAGAATATAATCCAATAATTAGCTTTTCACTTTATTTCAGGTTCTTTAAAGCATTTATTCGGTGTCCATCGTAGCTTCTTCAATATTTAACATCTCTGCAGGATGTCTCTCCACACAGAACATCCAGCCCGTTAACCGGTCGGCAATCCAATCCGACGACCCTGTCCACGACCTGCCTATCGGGTTGACCTTAATGGGTTTATCTTTTGAATTTTTTTGTTTCTTCCAAATTCGACATTTTTTATAATATTTTTCAATTTCAGTTGAATAAGGACATAACCCGTGGATCTGCCTTCTTGGGCCGGACCCACCTCCAGGCAAAAAGAAGGCTCACAGACTTACCTGTCCTGCTGACCGTAAGGGTGTAATTTAGTGGGACGAAAAAAATCTTCGATCCGAATTGAATTCGAGCAGGACTTAGACTGAGACTTTGGTTGCACCCGAACCGAATTAATAAGCACAGGTATACACAAAAACTTCTATAGTGTTTTTTGGTGTTTCACAAAGGTGTGCATTTAGGTACATAATTGACTAAACCCACGAAGAATACTTTATTTCAAAAGTAGAAAAATGATGTGAACACATGATTACAAAGGCAGTTCGTATTTGAAATAGAGCATCCATTGCAAAATTTGAATGACCCAACTCCAGAAACAGCCATACATAATAAAGATTTGCCACCAATTTAGAGATGTACCGAGCATAATCCTCTTTTTAGACAGTAGCAAGCTTTCTTGAGTACACAATGTACATTGGATCTGAACGTCCAGGATTCGGAGATATATCTACAGCCTGTGGAAAATATTGCAAATATACTTAGTAGGATAAATGGATTGTCCTCAATTTGAGAACTTAACATATGTATCATGTAGTCATTCGCAGTGCTGAAAATGGTGCTAGTTTTATTCATCGTGAACCATGAGATATATTCAAGTAAATGTTGACAGAAACATCTTGCAGATGTTCAGTCTATTGCAAAGATCGAAAAAGAAAATAGAAATGTCCCTCAGACCAGAAAAAAGAGAGGATAAAGTAGTTTTTGAAGTGGGAATCAATGACAAGATCTGCTTTGATGGGGGACGAAACTCCAGCAATAGTATGACCACACTACTAGAGAGCATATAATTATTGGGCTGCATTGTCACACAACAAGAACTGCTACCCCAAAATAATAACTTCCATCCATGATAAAGTTCGTACAGACAAATGGATCACAACAAGACAGCATAATAAAAACAGTTTTACAACAATCTTATGTAAATTATTGATATTCCTATAGAAAATGTTATTGTGACTACAGGTTCAACCATTGGTGCAAAGACAACATCCGTTTTTTTTTTGAGTCTCAGACAATGTATGCTTGTCTATGCGCCAAATTACTGCTGCAGCCTCAATATGAATGAATAAGCAAGCTTCTAATTTGCCAGTCCAAAACTAGAAGTTTGATGATAATTACCTGAGGGGGTTCAAAACCCCCAGCATAGTGGAAGTATGATCCAACAATCATGACATGATCAGCATCACCTGTTGATGTCCATATTGAGATTGCCTTTGTCCAGAAGCATCGGTTGGAGAAGCTTGTTAATGATCAGAATTCACAAAATTATAGGTGGTTAATAAAATAAATGAAAGAAAACATAAAAAAGCAATAACCTGGTTATGTTTACTTGTAGATGACAGTGCTACCTAAATTTCATGACCAAGATTCCCAGGGTAGTCAAACTTTTAACAGGCCGTAGACATTTTAAATATCTTTGTAAGTGATGTTTTAACCACTTATTCAAAAGGATATTATTTATACCTCATGATAGCTAGGCCGCCTGGCTTAAGAACGCGACCCATCTCTTTGAAGACATCAATAGGTTTTGTCAGATAGTCGACACTAACCTGCAAGATATAAGGATGTCATATATCAGAGCATTTAAAAAAATCATGTCCTTAACAGCACATTGAGGAGTTCTTTGGATATATTTCAATTTTGAAGAATTTAAGATAATATGGCGGTGAATCTTTCTCTAAATAGTTGCAACTGAGGTCATCATCATACTGTCATTGTCAAAAAGAGCAAAAGATGGAGAAAGAAGCTCCAAAAACCTAAATGATTGATGATGTTTATAATAATGAACAGCAGTGTTGTTGGTTACGTATAGTGTTTCAAACTGATCTGGTTCACAAACATCAGAAAATACAAAAATGCAGCCAGCTTCTAGAATTCTTGACTGCAATTTGTATTCTTTTGGTTCTACAAGAAAAAAATAAAATTATTGGACAAAATTATTATTGTAGTCCATAACTTTGAATATACCATCTTGAGCAGTCTGAATCAAAGTTCATTAATAGTTGCATTGAGCCCTCGAGATCTTTACCATCACTTGAGATAGACGTGACTGAAAAATGGATACAAACTAAGTGTAGAGCCCCGTATATATGATCAATGAAAGTTACAATAAGGATAAAAATGTAAAAAGAGAAAATCTAATAAGCCCTAATAAACTAGGCCGCTGCTATATCTCCAACACTCCCCCTCAAGTTAGGCGCAAAAATGTCAACTAAGACAAGTTTGACAACTGAGTCCCGAAGAATGGATAGAGTGACAGGTTTGGTAAAAACATTTGCAACCTGATCACTAGTCCTACAAACGATGGAGTGACAATACCACTGCTAACTTTCTCCTAAAGAAAATGAACATCGATCTCTATATACTTCGTTCTCTCGTGTAATACAGAGTCAGAGGCAAGCTGAATAGCAGATCGATTATCACAATATAATGTAGATGAATAAATCATTGAAAATCCCAACTCGTCAAGAATCGATCGTAACCAGATAATCTCACATGTGTCAAGTGCCAGTGCCCGATACTCTGCCTCTGCTAACGAGCGAGAGACAACTGACTGCTTCTTGCTCTTCCAAGACACAAGATGAGTCCCTCGAAAAGCACAGAAGCCTGTAGTAGATCGACCGTCAAATGTTCCCATATAATCTGAATCTGAATAACAGGCCAAAGAACCAGTCTGAGATCCTGATGCATAGAACAACCCAAGTCTAGGACAAGACTTGAGGTACCGAAGAATAAGATAAACTGCATCAAGATGAGGCTGACATAGTCTGTGCATGAACTAACTAACTCGGCTGACAGCGAATGAAATGTCTGGCCTAGTGTTGGCTAGGTAGATAAGTCTACCTACCAACTTCTAATAGACAGTCGGATCTCTCAACTCCTCATCTTCAACAGTAAGCTTCAGGTTTGGAATCATGGGTGATGATGCCGGTTTGCACCCCAGCATCCCAGTGTCTGAAAGAAGATCCAGAACATACTTTCTCTAAGAAAGAATAATACCTCTGCTGCTACGGGCAACCTCAATCCCAAAAAAGTATCGCAAAAATCCAAGATCCTTCACATCGAAGGCCTTCCCAAGGTCTACCTTGACTTGCGTAGTCCTAGAAACATCATCTCCAATAATAATAATATCATCAACATATACCAAAAGGATGACACACTGTTCAGAAGAATTCCATCGAATGAAGCATATAATCAGAATGACATCTGGTGAACCCTAAATGTACAACTACATCACTAAAGCAAGAGAACCAGGCTCGTGGTGACTGTTTCAGTCCATAAAGAGACTTACGCAGTCGACATACCTTTCTAGCATACTCCCCCTCACCACGAAAGTCTGGTGGTGCATCCATATAAATAATCTCGTCCAGATCACCGTGAAGAAATGCATTCTTCATATCCAACTGATGAAGAGGCCAAGAGTACTCCGCAGCCAGAGAAATAATCAGTCGAACAGTAGTCAATTTTGCCACAGGGGCAAAGGTAGCACCAAAATCACGACCTGGCAACTGAGTAAAGCCTTTCGCCACAAGCCTAGCCTTGTGACGATCAATAGTACCATCCGCAAGAAATTTCAAGGTGTAAACCCAGCGACAGCCAACAAGCTTCACCCCTGAAGGTAAAGAGACAAGATCCCACGTATGATCACGCTGAAGAGCGTCTATCTCTGTCTACATGGCAAGAACCTACTGGGGCTCCAGCATAGCCTCTGAAACAGAGTGAGGAATCGGCGTATCTGATAAAGCCATACTATAAGCCCGAAATGTAGGAGACAGATCACCATAAAAAACATAAGCAGAGATCGGGTATAAAATCCTGACAGTCCAACCATAACGAACAACTGGACGGTGATCACGCTGTGGATAACGACGCTCTAAATTATCATCCTCCACTGACAATGTCTCATCAGGTAAAACAACTGGCTCAGTACCTGCAATCTCATTACTATTAACAACAGGTGCATCAATATGCTCAACGAACTGAGAAGTATTACCTACATCGCCTGAGGTAGAGGGGACATCAGCAGGGGGATGAGAACGAGAGAGACGAATATAAACCTGCAAAGGAAGAGAGATTGGTGACTCTGTACCAGAGATGGGTGGCTCTGGAGGAGGAGAGACTGATGACTCTGTAGTGATAATGACCAATGACTCTGGCTCCGGGGATAATGGAAAATCAAAGGAAGTATCATTAACTGGAGGGGCAGACATAAGACTGGAAGAAAAATAAGGAATATACTCAAGGTTAGACTGTGATACATACGGCGCCTAACAGGATTATAACACCGATACCCCTTAGACTAATTACAATAGCCCACAAAGACACAACGGGTTGCTTTATCATCAAGCTTATAACGAGTAGGAGACCGATCCTGAACGAAACATGTGCATCCAAAAACACGAGGGGGGACCAGAAAAAGTGTTTGCTCAGGAAATAAAACCTGTAAGAGAGCCTTATGCTGAAGAACACGACTCGACGTACGATTGCACAGAAAGGTAGAAGTCAAAACAACAAAATGCCAATAAGATTTTGGCACCCCCATGCCTCTAAGCATACAACGTACCATCCCTATCAGACTCCTATTTTTCCTTTCAGCAACGCCATTTTGCTCAGGAGTATATGAACAAGTGAGTTGTTGAAGGATACCCTGAGAAGAAAGGTGAGACACTAAGGCATCAGACACATATTCTTTGACATTATCCGAACGAAGAACACAAACAATGACATCAAATTGTGTCTTAATCATCTGTAAAAACTGAGTAATTATAGGGAGTACATCGAACTTTCTATGCAAAAGGTAGACCCAAGTACAACGGGTATGGTCATCTATAAATGTCACATAATATCGGGCACCTAACAGAGTCGTAACAAGAGAGAGTCCCCAAATATCACAGTGTATTAGGTCAAATGGCTTAGGTGACTGGTGCATGCGAGGAATATAACTGGTCCTAACATGTTTTGATAGAGAACATATAACACAGTCAAGTTTACCACCAACACAAGTATTGCTCAAAGCAGGAAACAACATACATATATATTTAAAATTTGTATGTCCAAAACGATCATGCCACAACTGAACAGTTTGTGACGAAAAATCATAACGACAATTATTAAGTAAAATACTGGCATGCAAGCTAGGAATAGATAAAGACAAAACAGGTGCAGGTGATGTAGGTGGAAGAACTGATGAAACTGGAGGTGGATTGCCTAGATAATACAATCCATCTCTCTCATATCCCCTGATAATAATTCTCCTGATACTCAGGTCCTGGAAATAACACAAATCAGATAAGAACACAACCGCACAGTGAAAATCTCTGACTAACTGATGTTCAGATAATAGATTCATGGCCAGCTTTGGCGCATGAAAAACCAAACGTAATGTAAAGCCACCTGGGAGGCAGACTGTACCCCTACTAACAATAGGGGCATGTGTCCTATCTGCTAACTGAACTTGTGTATGTAACTGCTCGTCAAAAGTGGTGAAGTGATAGGTCTCACCTGTCATGTGACCATTCGCACCCGAGTCCAGCATCCAAAGGGGAGACGGACTGGCACAACCATGAAAGACACGAGGTATACCTGTAGTAGTGGTTGTAGCAGTAGTCGGACTCTGAGAAGTCAAAACGGACATAAGTATATCCAATCGAGAAGTGATAGCATCCATATCACTCTGCCAAGGAGGAGCAGTAGTAGGAGTAACGGAAGTAGGTGGTGGTATCTCAGCAATGGCAACAGTACGGTCGCGAGGAGGCGACTTAAGCTCTGGATAGAGCTTCCAGCAAGTAGCCTTGAGATGTCCTGGTCGACCATAATAATCACACTGACGAGAATTCCCCTGTCTGCACTGATCTGGGACACCCTGACAGCGCTGATCCGAACGTTGCCCACCCCTAATTGAGGATCCTGAACGAGACCCTACAGCAGCCACAAGGGTCATACGATCAGCCGGAGGAGTCAAGGCCACAACTGGAAGTAATGCAATACGGACGCGGTGCTCATGCTGCTCAATCATCGCATACACCTCATAAAGACAAGCAAGCGTCAACATTGACAAGATCTGGGAACGAGGTCCCTTAAACTCATCACAAAATCCCATAAGGAACTTGTGAATCCTATCATCCTACTCTCGAGTATGCAAGAATACTGCTCTCTCGGGCTCTATCCTCGGAATAGCAGCAAGAAGACAGAGAGTCTCATACTTAAGCCAGCACTGGGTCAAATAACCATAATAATCCTGAACGGTCAGATCTCCGTGCCGAGCATATGAGAGCTCCTGAGAAAGCTCATAAATACGTACTCCCCGTCTTGACTGAGAATACATCTCTGATAATGCGCTCCATAGTTTCAGAACAGAGCTATGAAACTGGTGAATCCTGCAAACAGATAGCTCCATCGAGCCAAATAACCATCCAAGAATGGCGCAGTTCTCACAGAACCACGCAGAATATCTAGGGTCGGCATCAGCTGGCTTTGGGAGAGAGCCCGTTAGCCAACTAAGCTTTCCTACACGGCCTAAGAAAAGCTGGAATGAGCGAGACCACTCAGCGAAGTTACGGCCATTCAACAACTGTGCCGTAACTTTCTGAGAGATCATGTCCGACAGTGCTGGTAATGCAACCATGCCAGTAGGGACTGTATAATGGTCAAACATAACAGTGGAAGTTCCAATAGAGGTCTCAACGGCAGAGGTGTCAACAGTAGAGATCTCAAATCCCTCAGTAGTAGTCATATCAACAACAATACTAGGGCACCCATGACAGAAAAATAACTCTAAGATAAATAGAGGGATAAAATAAGGGAGAACAGTATACCTCCAGTCGAACAGTAGCGACAAATAAAGAAGGTCCACAAAGCTTCCAAATAATCAGGTCACGGTGCCCAGAAATCCACTAAATATAAATAAAAGATCTACTGCATCAAGAACATATCAATGTAGAAGAGAATCTGATCCCTCCTAAAAAAAAGTCATAGATGCTGCAACTCTGGGAAAAAGGAATCAACAGCGCGAAGAGATGGCGGCCCCGTGACAAGTGCGAAGCAGAAGGCAGACTTGGGTTGGGCTGGTCATCGACAATGGGTGCTGTAGATAGTGGTTTGATGTGTTATGGTGTATGGGTGGCCTATAGGCAGTGAGAGTTAAGTTGCTGGGTTGTTTTCGATTTCAGTGGGCTGTCAGTGTTGGAGTTAAGTTGCTGGGCTGTTTTCGATTTCGGTGGGCTGTCGGTTTGGAGTTAAGTTGCTGGTCTGTTTTCGATTTCGGTGGACTGTCGATTTGATTGTGGGCTGTTATGGTATATGTTGGTCGGTGTAGGCAGCCGGTGATTGTTGTAGCCAGTCGGTGCTTTATGGAGGCAGCTGAGGTATTGTCGGTGGGCTGTTATTATTGATGCCAGTCGGTGATTGGTAGGTTGGTTGATGTGTTTGTGCTGGTCGGTGTGATGTGCTTGGTGCTTTGGATGCTTGGGCAGTCAGTGGGGTTTGTCTGTTTGAGTTCTATGCTTGTAAAGATGTCGCTGGTTTGGAGGTTTGGCTATCGCTGAACTGTTTCGCTGGGAAAGATGTCGCTGGGTTGGCCTGTGGTGGTGGCGACAACGTGGAGGAGGGGCTAGGGTTAGGGTTGGAGTTTGGCTTTGATACCAACTTGAGATAGACGTGAGTGAAAAAAGGATACAAACTAAGTGTAAAGCCCCGTATATATAGTCAATGAAAATTACAATAAGGAGAAAAAGATAAAAAGAGAAAATTTAATAAGCCCTAATAAACTAGGCCGCTGCTATATCTCCAACACCATCCAATGTTAAACTTCAACCATTAGCAATACAATAAAAAAACTCTAGAAATTGCGGAATATATTCATGAAATTCTCTGTACATGATTTGGCAAAAATAGCACAAGAGAAAGAAGAGACAACTGTCTAAAAGATGGGAAGAGATATGCATACCACATTGGTGATAACATCAAAGGAATTATCTGCAAGTGGAAGTTTCGGGTCAAAGTTCAAGTCTTGCACAACATACTCGGTCAGAACCTACAACGAACAAGAGCATTTTCTTGAAGTTCTTCATCTCAACAATACAATGATACAATGAATATGTACAAGGGTATATAGGTCACAAATAATGTGGTCAGAAACCAATGTATTGTAAAACAAATTTGGTTGAAGCATACAACTCATTTTCTTATCTGGAACTAAAGTATTATCTATGAACTTTACAAAGTGTTAGAAAGGATTAGGATTTAGGAAGCTCTTTGAGGGATTTAAAATTATCTTCTTACCAATTGTTAATAAGCATCATTTATCATGCAAGAGGATCCATAATTGAGGGGAATACAAGTGCACATGGAAGTACGATAATGAGCTTAACCAATATCTAATTTACATCGGAAATTGATATCTAGACCATAGTTGTCAAATCGTGTATCGAAAGACGTATCATTTTTCAAAAATAGTGTATTGTATCGTATATCGTAAGATACGCACAATTTTAAATTATTATTAATAAAATATATATATACTTTTATAAAAAAATTATAGACTCATAATAATATAAAATTTCAATAATATTCCACAAACTATTCAAATTCCCAACATAATTTAATAATATCAAAATCTAAAGACTTCTAATTCAAACTTCTAACATCAACTATTTGAACAATTTTAATATTAATCAAGAATTTTGAATTCAATTGAACAACATTAACAATAAACTTTATTATTTTTTTAAATCATAACTACTGAAATGACGTTATTTTACTTGCTAGTGATTTAAAAATAAATCTTGGGGTGAAACGATATTTTTTCAGCCCCAAAAAACCCAAAAAATAAAAATAAAAAAACAGAATCTTACATATCAGACGTATCGTATCGTATATCGTACGATACGGTGAAAAAACGATACAAAGACATAATACACATTATTTTTCAGGTATATCGTGACGTATCGTACGATACTAATAATTATGATCTAGACCATTCATTTATCCCCAACGAAATTAAGGCTCGGTTTTCACAATTATAAAAGGAAATGAGCATGATCTTACTGGATTCTTCTTGAGCTCTTCTTCATTCATACCCATGCCTACTATCCGCTCTTGTTTATACCCTGCAGGGTAATGACTGACCTAGATATAATATATTAACAGGTTATGATAACATAAAAGTATTCAACAATCAACACAGAAAAGAGTGAAATAAGATAATAAATGGCATACCCAGCTGCTACATATATCAAGGACAGCTACTCCTGGAGTATTACTAGGCGGAAGAACCTGGGAGTAATACTTACTAAGTGCAGCAATGGCAGGATCATCTATATGTGTCACAAAACGTGGAGCTTCATAGAACAACAAATCTGGTGATCTGCAGAATTGACTACTATTATTTAAAGTATTATTTGAAGTATTATACTATCCAGTGAAGTATTAAAAAGCAGCAAATTTTTCCAATAAATATATATATTGTCACAAGAGGCTTCATTTTCAGTGAAAGTAAAGTAAGTGCAGCAATCACTCCTCAAGGACAAGTGCTAGTAAACAAAGCATAATACTGCAATGGATGGAATTTTCTTAAGAAGGTACAAAACTTGATGTATTTAACTTACCAAATAATAGTAGGCAGCTCCTTCTTTAGTTTGAAAAATAAAAGTCATCACAAATTTTATGAATTAAACTTATGGTGACTTGTCCAAAATATTACAAATTTAAACTTCATTACCATTCCATAATCATTTTGCAAACCAGGAATGAGGAACATCATTAATGTTGCAGACTTTAAACTTTCAAGGATGGCCATTGCAAACAATAGAGATATTGAATACAACTCAAGTGGAGAATTAGTTTAGAGTCTTTACTCATCAAACCGCCGGAAATCCTCTTCCTTGAAGGGAAATTGTGCTGGCCATTCCACGTTCTTTAATACCTTGAATTAGAAGCAATATATAAGAAATTATGCTTGTCAAACAGATTGAGAAAAGAAGTCTATGCTACGCAACCAGCCAAATAATCATAAAAAGCTGGAACACTGAAAAGGTTAGTACTGGCACAGTACTCCAAACATTAATGAATTATAGTAGTGATGCATCAGGATCATAAGTTAGGAAATTAAAAACATAGGATCAACATAAGATAATTGGATATGACCAAAGAAATTGGTGATACATGTCTTCGTGCTAGCCCTCATCGTTTCCTTTTCCAATGTAAATAACCTAGGCCCGGTCGAATGACTAGAATGTCCTCATTTTCCCCTTTCCCTGAAAAAGCATATACAGAGTGCTATGTGTAGGTCATAGCAGTTGCTGAATGGCTCAAGAATTTCCTATCCTTGAGAATGAGAACTTCTCCCACTCAAGAAGTGCACATTTAAATTAAATGGAACTTCTCAAAAACAAAACTGAGTAAAATAAATGAAAAAACAAGACCCCTAAGTCAATCATCCACTGTTATGGAATTTAAATTCCTTTACTTTGTCACCAACATCTTATCAGAAACCCCAAACCCTTGATACCCAGAAGGTCAAAAACACAAATAGTCAAATTCATCAAACCCCCTACAATAAATTTAATTGCACACCAAGTTACAAGCATGTCGTCCAAATTGAGCACAAACCCATCATCAAATTTCACACAAAAATCATAACCCAGAAACTAAATCACTCAACAACTCAAGAAACATTAACTGTGAACTTGGGCAAAAAAATTGTAGAAGACTGAAATTTCACCTGTTCAATTGCACCTTTTTGTCTGGCAGAGGCAATTAAAGATTTGCCGCCAAGATTACCTGCCATACTCATGAACTGAGCCCAAAATGAAACCCCAAGTCCCAACACCACCCTGCGAGGTGTTCTAAATCCACTTATCCTCCTCTTCAGTACTTTAGAAAGTTGAGGAACAGAAGCGACAAGGGAACAAGTAACTGACGTAGTTGAAGGCAAAGAAGAAGAATAAACAACACCCGCCAAAATTGGTAGCCTCTGGTTCAGTGTGAGCCCCAAACGGTTGGGATTGGTCATGACTCTCATGATATATAATGGTTATTTATATACGTCAACGTTGGAAGAGGTGTGTAACAGTGGTATAGTTATAGTGCAACACTTCACGTAATAGAGCTCTCTGGTGTGGCCTGGAGTTTGGACCGTTGGGGATTGGATCTTATGTTAGTGATGCACGTACTCTTTACGTGGCTCTATCCATTTGTTGCCAGTCCTCTTTCGCAAAGTTACGGGCCTATACAACTATCAGTCATAACCCAATCCCTACTTGTAAATATAATGTAGCATAAAATTCGAGTATTTAAAAAATTAATTTTATTATATTAGATAATAATTTTTTTATCTATTACTTATTAAAAAAAAAATTGATAAAAATTTCTCAAAATATATGACCTAAAAAAATATTAACATGTGAACAATATTGTATATGACCATTGTCCGAAATAAAAATTATATTGAACTACAAATTAATCAAAAATTAAATAATTTAACTTGTAATAGAAATTCTGTTCAAAAAGAATTTGTGATAAAAAATGAGTAAAAAAATATATAGAGATAAAATTCAAAATGCTAGTTATCTTACTAGATAGATTTTGTGTTAACCAAAACCAAAAAAAAATAATATTTTTTTTTGATATTATTTGTAAAGTTATTACAAATTATTTTTTTGTTTTCAATTAAAAAACATTGTTTTTGATAGGTGGTAATGAAATTTGTAAATAAGATGGCTATTACTTAAGAATGCTCATTCCAATGTTTAATATATAATAATAAAAATTCATTCCCATTTCTATGGAATGACTAATTTTATCAACATAAAATTTGTCATTTCTCAACAATTAATAGTATTTTTCATTTTCAACTACCATCACTTGTCACCACCACCACTACCCTATCATCACCCAGAGTTGGGATAGGGTTTTGGGGCGAGATCGGGTTTCAAGTCAAGAGTCTGAGGTCGAGGTTCAATTCGGGTTTGTGTTGGGTGTGGCGAGTTAAGGGATGGGGTTTGGGCTGGGCCTAAGGTCGAATCTAAGTTTGAAGTTTAAGGTTTTTTTAAATATTTATTTATCTAAATATTTGAATAAAATTTTAATTATATTCTAACATTTAATTCTATTTGTTGCCAAACATTAGAATAGTAATATATATTTTATTTTATTCCTCCCTCGATTTCGTTTCTTACCTTAATTTTATTCTCTTATAAAAATATTATCACGTACTAAATGCAACCAATTAGTTCATAAAACTTCTCATCGGAAGACAAGAGAGGGCAAGGATCGAACGCTTGAACATGATAGTTATGCAAGAACCCGATAGTTATGCAAGAACTCGACTCGAGGGATCACAAACCTCACAGCGTCGCACACGGTTTCATGTATTTCATGTATTTGTAAAGTCTACTTGCCCTAGAAATGCGATTATTTTTCAATTTTTTTTTTGAATAATACTATTACAATCTAAAATTTTGAATTAATTTGTTGACTGAATGATATAATTTCCTTGCAAACATTAGATTGATACAAAATTTTAATGTTCAATAGGTCTCACGGTCAATCCAATACCCCATCCATCTCATACCATCAATTCGAGCCTTGGACTAATTATACTGATAATACCTCATCATCCAATATTTGGTTCAAGTATTAAGAAGTAATGAACCCTATATTTATTTCATTCAATATTTTGTTTGGATGGAGCATTGAATAATGAGATAAATATTAAATTACTAAAGAATCTTTAAGATAATTATATTATAAAAATTCTTGAGAGTAAAAATATATTTTGTCAAAACATACCCTATTTGTACCATTTAAACCCACCAAATAGGTAGGTTTATTTAAGAATGTATAAGTTGATATAAGTGCACTATTCATTCGGATTTGAATTATTTCTAGATGACAATATGAGGCTTAAAGTGTGTATCCAAACATGGGAGTAAAGAGTATAAAGTGGGTCCAAACATATTTTTTTGGATCTTTCTTTTTTTAATACCTAAAGCAAACACACCCTAAAGTCAATAAACTAAATCCCAATAAAATTGTTCATTTTCTTAAATTTGTCTACCATTCAAACAAGTCCTTAGAGGAAAAAAAAATGAAATTTTTTTTCAATGAATTTTGCATTGGACCCTTTACCATCCATAAAAGTAATATTATTTAGACCTAAAAATTTGACATAATAATGTGATTTCGTATGAATCATTTGATCAACATTAAATTTCAATGGTTGATGAGGTCTACAATGAATTTAAATGTCACAATGAATTAAATCAGTAAATTATGTCAATAAATTAAGTGTCAATAACATTATTCTTTACATATAGGCGTCAACTTCTTTTTTTTTTTTTCTGCTCGTGCAAGATGAGGAACAAGAGTGGGATAGTGAATAACAGTAGTACAAATCGAGAAAGGACTAAGCAAAATCTACTACTAAACTACTACTAGGATCCCCATGCCAACTTAGAATCCTTGAGTATCACCTCCCTTACTGCTTGTAGGAGCACTGTTTCATTGAAGATTCCATCCTTCTTGACCGATAATCTCCACTTGGCCAAGGCGGGGGCAGCTTTGTTTGAATCCCTATGCACCAGTCTGGGTGGAGTGCTAGCAGGTGTTAGGTATCGGCTATAATGTTGTTAACGAGGTTTTGACCCATCCCATGGGATTTTAAAAAAAAAATTTCAAATAATGATTGATTTCAAAATAATTCTCAAACTCTTGTTATTTTAAAAATATCAAATCAACTAACATTTTTAAGCTAAAAACGTCAAATGAACTTACGTTTTTAACTTAAAAATGCCGGTCCGTTTGATATCTTTAGACTTTTTTTCTTCAACACACTGTCATACGGAAACGAGCTGACGTTTTTTGACGCGGTTAACTTCTTTATTTTGTTGTCTGCAAAGCTATTTCATTCGCCGGCTGCCAAAAAGTAAGTCCACCAACATGTAATATTTAACATGTTAAAAAAGAAATCAATTCCTTCTTTGCCAAAAAATCAAGCAACACGTAATATTTAACACATTACTCCACCAACTTTATTGAAAATTAAAAATGGGCTACTTCTTTTTTTTCTCCTTCTTTGTAAAAAGTCACGTGATTTGCTTATAACTCCACTTGATTTTGATAATTATCATAAGTGACTCCTAAATTTTTTCTCAGGTTTTAATGTAGTCCGTAAAATTTTAATTCTTTTAATTTAATCCATCAATTATGAATTTTCGTTTAGTTAAATCTTTCCATTAATTTTAATCGTCAAATGAAGTGGAGATTAGCCCAATTTTTTTTGTTTTGAAATTGATAATTGAGAGAGTAAAATAAGACAAGTTTAATTTTAATCATCAGATGAAGTATTGTAATATTTACATTTTCATCGCCGTACTTGTGTTTGCAATATGTTTATGTATTATATTTCTATATTTGGTTTCTAGGAAATATGGTATACTACTCTAGTTTGTAATGTTCATCTAAATTTTAATAATTTATATTATATTATTCAACAAACATGTCTTTAGAGTGTATTTAAAAAATGATCTGAAAGGCAGTAAAGACATAACATGATATGAAACTATGAACACAAACAAATTTTATATACAAAAATAATATTTATAAATTCTATACAAATTTTTTTTAAAAAAAAGACTATGTCCCACAAGGTGGTGGTCTCCTCTACCGCTTGAGCCACTGACCATCAGGCGAAGGCCATAAGTCCCTCCCACATAAGCAGTAATCAGGTAGAGTGACTAACACATCAGCGGTGAATGACTGTTATATGATCAGCAGTAAAAAAAAACCAATTTTGTTAGATGTACCCAAAAAATAAAAATTTCGACAGAGTTTCCCCTATATGTATGACATCAAATTTTTTTCCAAAATCACTTGTTGCATAATACATTCAACTACCAATCATACCAACAAAAACCACAAACAACTAACAACAACCACCAACAACAACACATCCAACAACAACCAACAATTACCAATCATACAACACATCCAACAACATCTAGTAGTTTAAAAAAAAATATAGAGTTCTGCTTGTATACTGGTCGGCATACATCTGATCTAGAGTTTCGGAAGGATAAGACTATTTTTTGAAAGGGAAAAACACTAGGAATTGTTTTACGTTATTAAAATTTCTAAAACATTTCATTTTTAATTTAATTACACTGTTCCAGTTTTCATTTTCAGTATAGAAATCATCGTTGTTATAGACCATGCATTATAAATTGTGATGGAAGATTGTGCCAAGGGTTTTCCTCAGGCTCGGATTTTGCAGGTGATTAAATGATTGACATTTTAGTCCTGCGCTAATTTTTTTGGTTTTTGTTTGATAAAATTCCAATTAGAAAGATTTATCACAAATAGAACTGAATTTGGTATTGAGGGTCCCATTCTAATTTCCAATTGTTAGTGAAATGGTCTGGAGTTCATCAACATTCGATTTGAAAAGATCCATTACATTCTTATGACTCACAATTCCTGTGTGGTGGTCGCTTGTAGAATCATACCAATCTTAAGCTATAGACAATTGTAGAACCTTACCTCTGTTGGACAAGCAGGCGGTGGTCGCTTGGTGCTGGTGGTCCTCGATGGTGGTGCTTGGATTTGGGCCTTCGATCGTTGGGTGGTGATTGGATGGTCGTGGTGCTGGGTGGGCGTGGGTGGTGCTGCAATGGTGGTGGTGGTTCTACAACGGTGGTTCTTCGAGGAGGGCAGTCAGTTTTGGGGGAAGAAGCTGATTAAGCGTGGGTAACAGCTCAGACTAAATAATTTGGGAGAAATAAAAGAAAACGAGGAAAGAAGAGGGAGTCAGGATAGTTCAACTTAAAAAGGTCAAATGGACTGACGTTTTTAAATAAGTGCGTTAGTCCATCTGGCGTTTTTAAGTTAAATGTAGGTCACAGTCTTTGTGTTAAAAACGTTAAATGGACTGACGTTTTTAAGTTAAAGACGTCAGTCCATTTGACGTTTTTAAAACAACGTGGGTTTGAGAATTATTTTGAAATCAACCATTATTTGGGAATTTTTTTTTAAAACTTGGTAGGATGGGTCAAAACCTCTGTTGCTAATAGACCAAGGAGTTCTAAACTGTGGGATCATGACTGCATGGACTACAATTTATGAATCCCCTTCAATTGTAACATAATTCCATCCCTTTGCATGTGCCCACTGTGTAGCATTTTTGACTGCCAACGCTTCCGCAATAAGAGGATCCTTACCTTAGTCAAGCTTCGTTGATGCTTCTAATATTTTGCCTTGCGAGTCCCAGGCAACCGCAGCAAGACATGATGCTCCCTTGGCGATTGATGCATCAACATTGATTTTGGTTGTGCCTTCTTGAGGGGGAGACCAACAATTCTGGATATGGCCTGTCGCTAGTTGCTGTGATCTTTCCTCCCTTGTGTGAACCTTGAATGACTGGAATTCTTTGCAAGCATCCAAAACTTATTGTAGGATTGTCATGTGGTCAGCTTTCGCATCTCTGAATAGTATTTTATTCCTCCACTTCCAAAGGGTTGACATAAGGATTGCTGCAAAGGGGACTAGTTGGCTATGATGTGGGCAGTTTGGACCAAATGCTAGGGTTGGGTTAAGGATAGGTCTCATAGCTTTCTGTGTTATCCTAAAGGCTTCTACTTCTCTTGGTCTAATGTGTACCTCATACTTTATAAGTTATTAGGTGTATTTCATGAACATCAAGGTTCCAATCAGCATGAATTATGTCTTGGAATTTTTTTATTTATTTTTTTTTTGGAGGAGGGGGGACACTTGAATATTAATCTCAAAAAGATAAAATTTTTATAAAATAAGAAATACCGTCCAACCAAAAACTTGTAAATAAAAAAATTACCATCAATCTCTTTTTTAAGAGAATCTTATCATACACCCTAGTGGAAATTGAAGGTTCTACACAATGCAACTCTCACTCCAACGTCCATAGGAGGACTCAAATCTTCCATGTATCACATCGGTAAGCTAGTTTAGGTTGTACTAGTCTATCACTTGGACTAGTGAGCCGGTGGTTGCATCATAAATTTCGTTAGTAAAAAAATTAATATTATTTGAACTTAAAAATCTGACTTAATTTATTAGCATATTGATGTGATTTCAGTAGAACCATTGAATTAACACCAAATTCTAATATTTGATGAGTCCTACAATTAATTCAAATGTCATAATAAATTATGTCAGCAAATTAAGTACCAACAACATTGCTCTTAGTAAAAACATAATTTGTTGAGTTAGATTATAAGTAAGTTTCATCCAATTTCAAGATCACTATACAATGGTGAATCAATTTAAATTTTTATTTTTTGTATTTAGACGGTGAATCAAATTAACAAAATAAATTCATAAATTGGATAAAACAAACATTATTAGAATGTCCTTTATAAATGTGTGAGAATGCAAGGGGACCCAAAACACTTAAGAAGGCAATACAAGCAAAAGCTAAATTCCAAAAATAATTGACAGTGAAATGGTATCTAGAAATCGATTGTGAAAAGCAATGTAACAGCATCCTATAGTTAATGCTTGCAAGCTTGCATCAACTACCCATATAATAATTATATGCCAATCAGCTAAGTATGAATCCCATGTCAACATCAGTGTTATTGGTTGGTATAGTTCCATTTGCATGTGGAGTGGATTCCTTTACAGCATGAATCATATGTAAGTGGTGGCAAAGCTCCAACAAAAGAAGTCCCACCAATCCACCCACAAGAGTACATTAAGGTGAAATATAGTTTGACCCTTTTAACTGTGGTCCAATCTCAATATAGTCTGAAACTAACAACTATATGTGAGAAACGCGATAATTATTGACGATTGATTTGCAAAAGTGTAACACAACATGTTTGTAGGGTTGTTTGGATGCATAGTTAGATGAATCCAGCAAAAAGAGATTCGTCTTGACATGGTTTGGTCAGCCAGAGCAGGTATAGATGGGGAAGCTTTTGGACCAAAGCTTAAGAACAGTTGTGGAAATGGAAAAAAAAAAATTTCTTTTGAAAGAAAGGAGAAGGAACTGTATTCAATATACTGGTAAAGACCAATCAATAAATATTTTTATAATTGTTTTTTTTATTAAAAAAAATCCAGTCCTCGAAGTCAAAGGATCCATAGTTTGGCGAATTGTACCAAAACAAAAACCCCATCTACATTCTTTCTTTATTTTTTTGGTTACAAAATGTACAAGTTTCTGACAATTACTCTTCAAGCTCTGAGCTACTAATCGTAATTCAAATTAGTTTAAGAATATTTTTTTGAAATATAAGGATAAATGATTTTTAGGAATATAAAAAATATCGAACCCGAGACCAAAAATAAGTTTGACAACTTAACCACCTCTAAGAATTTCTGCATTCTTTCTTTAGTTAATAAGCTTTCTTTTCTTTCTTTATTTGTTTGGATTGATACCTGTGCACCAGGCAAGTTCGGGGAAATTCCCATGGAACTAACCCAAGTAATGGGGCTGTTAGATCATATCTACCTTTCCCATGGTTATACTCCACCGGGGACCGAATTTGGGGACGAGAACGAGGACGAGGACGACTTAATTTAATATAACTATTAGATTACTTATAAGATTTTTTATGTTAGAATGAGTCTATTTTTAATTCAATAGTTATAATTGATTAAATTTTCAGATTAGGCCCCTAAATTATGTTCATATAAAAATTTTCTATTACAACATAAAAATTATTATTTAAATCTAATTTAAGGATCAAATTTAATCCAACTATTAGATTAAAATTGATTATCAATACAATGACTATATTAAATTAAATCCCTCACGAAATTCTTAAATTTGGTTCTTACACCATTGTTCTTTTAGCATATGAGACTAGGCTTAGATTTGTTATGTAATGATGATATTTTAACATTAAAAGATTTTATTATACCTTGGTTTGGTTGCATCTCACATGAGGGAAGTTGACTTGAAATTTGTATCATTTCAATAATGTATCTTCAATATACAAAAGGAAGCTCAAAGCCAATGGCTATTGGGACTCCTTTATTTTTCTTATTGTTGTTTGTCCTGTTGGCCTTTGATTACTAACATGTACACTTTTCTACAATTCAATAAACAATCACGTTTTCCATAGTTTATATTTTGTTATGCTTACACCAGCTCAGACCTTTTTGTCCTTGCCTATATATGGTATGGTGAAAGGAAGCATCATCATTACCACCACTCTCTATAAAATATAAACCTATTAAATAATCTTTTTTTTTTTATCCAATATTAAATACTCTCATTCATACTAATTACTCCCGTGGCTTTAAAAGTACTTGACTGTAGAAATGTCAAAAAAAATTCGATTTCTAAAATTTATTATTTTAAAAAGTATTTTTTTAATTTTGGTAGGTTGTTTTATTATAACCAAAAAATTTATTATTTTGTGGGTAATTTATCATTTTTTTGATATGATAATTTTTTTTAGTACAAAAAAAATTATTATTTTTGTGATAACTATTTTTATCACTTTTTTTTTAGTATCACAATAGTATTAAAAATACTCACAAATATAAAAAAATTTTGAGTAGCAAAGTCAAGTCCTCTAAAAAGAGGTGGTTTTTGGGTCAATTCAAAGTCCAATTTCAATATTAGAGCACAACTATGATGTATGTCGAGTTTGGTATATAGCACCAAAAAGATACGTAGAGAAAAGTGAATTTGTGAGTTAATTATGCAACGTTATAAATGTATTTAGGTCAACTTTTATGATGACAAGTAAGTAGTAATCTATTTAAAGCATGGTGATATTAGGTTTATCCTCGCACAATACATCTCAAATATCTGTATTTATCTAGTCTAGTAATAATAATAATAAATCACATTTTCTTTCTGTTTCCTAAGCCCTATATATACCGTTCTACCTCCTCATCCTTCTTCCCTCTCGCCCCCTCATTTCAGGGAACACCACCAATCCTCACGCCACCAGTCCGTCCACCACCACCCCCCTAAAAAAAACATTACTCAGAAAACCAGACAGGCCGTATCTAAAGAGAGAGAGAGAGAGAGAGAGAGAGAGAGAATGGATAGACTCAGATTTGTCTTTGAATCCTCAGAGGCCGAGTTAATGGCGAAATCTACAGATCACTCCTCAGTCCTCCAACTCCTCCCAACCCTCGTCAAATCAGCTCAGGACCTTGCTCGGCCACCCATCTCCAACTACCACGTTGGAGCCGTCGGATTATCCTCCGACGGCCGGATCTTCCTCGGCGTCAATCTCGAATTCCCAGGTCTCCCTCTCCACCACTCCGTTCACGCCGAACAGTTCCTCATCACCAACCTCGCCGTTCACCGCTCCCCCCGCCTCCTTTACCTCGCCGTCTCCTCCGCCCCCTGCGGCCACTGCCGCCAATTCCTCCAAGAACTTCGCCACGCCTCCGACCTCCAAATCTTAATCACTTCCGAAAAACAAACCCACAAAGAGCCTATTTTCAAACCCCTTTCATCAATTCTCCCAAATCCATTTGGTCCCTGTGACCTCCTTGATGAGGAGACACCATTGCTTCTTGAAAATCACAACAATGGGTTATCGATAATACCCAAAACCATGGATTCGAATTGTGGGAATTTGTGCAATGGGGTTTGTGAATCATTGCTGAAAAATGAATCCCAATTGAAAGTTTCAGCATTGGAAGCCGCTAATAGCTCTCATGCCCCATACAGTGGTTGTCCCTCAGGAGTTTCATTAATGGATTGTGATGGGAAGATTTACAAAGGGTGTTATATGGAGTCCGCCGCCTATAATCCGAGTTTGGGGCCTGTGCAGGCGGCGTTGGTGGCTTATGTGGCCGGTGGTGGTGGTGGATATCAGAGGATTGTGGCGGCGGTGTTGGTTGAGAAAGAAGGGACCAAGGTGAGGCAAGAGGACACCGCGAGGCTGTTGTTGAAGATGATTTCTCCAAAATGTGAGTTTCGGGTGTTTCATTGCTATTCAGCTGATAATGAATGTAAAAAATTTTCATTTTGATGGTAAATTAGTGTACGAGTCTTCCTTCACTGCAAAGTCTGAAAAAGATCCATTCATACTGCTTCACCACCGCTTTGTCTTGTTCTTGATCTGAATAAGGCAAAAAAATTGGGTATGAACTGTTTGGAATAATTGATCTGGAGATATAAAGAATGTTGTGAATGAAAAAAGAAATGAATTGAAGTATTTCTTCTATTGTCTTTGACTCCATGGTTTATCGTGGGTTTTGGAAATTCTTTTTGTAGACACATTTATAATTTTTCGATCCCTCGTTGTCAACTTTTTATTAATAATTTTGAGAATCTTGGATTATATAATGTTTTTGTCAACTTTTTATTAATAATTTTGAGAATCTTGGATTATATAATATTTTTGAAAGCCGACAATATAGTACAATACGAGCCTGATGGCAATTACTATCTTATCTTGATGGTTCTCGAAAGAGAATACTATGCAACTCTTGTTTGCTTGCCGTTGCTCTATTTATTCATCGAACAGTTGAGCAGTTTTTATCAAGCAATCTGCAGCATGAAAAATTGTTTGGAAAAATCTACTGTCCCAGGAATGAATCGTACGGAAAAGAATTATGATCGAAAGACATCAAAATACAATACACTAGGGTTAAAATTGGTAATTACTAAGGTCTAAAACTACCTCATCAATGCTAAAAGTTTGAAGTTAACTCTACAAGAGTTGGGATTAATCCCAAAATTTTTTAATCTTTCTTAAGTCAATCCCATTGAATTACAATTTACTCAATTTTGATCGTAATTTTAATATGATTGGATTATAGCATTTGATAAAGTATCGAGTTCTCTGTTGTGTACTAACAGACCTTTGATTTAATGATACTTTTTATTTTATACAAATTTTATCTTCTTAAAGTCGATGATGGTTCAAATTTTCTTTTCCCTCCTCCCAAAAAAAAAGTTTGTTGCTGAGTGGAAAAATCCTTAATGTGTTGATGACTGTGCCTGCTCCTTGAAAGTGTGATGTTTTGACCTAGTTCATTGTACTCTCTATGACATATGATACATTAGTTTTTTTTTTTTTTTAATTTTGAACAGAGACATACGTTAGTTAGCAAAGAGTTTTCGAGCCACCTATTTTTTTTGATATTAAATTAGTTTGGCATGGTCTTTGAGCTTATTAAAATAAAACATATTCAAAATTTACATATATCTGGTTGTGTTTGCTCATAAAAAATAAAAAATAAAAAATAAAAAGTTTTGGTTGGCATAGATATGGCAAAAGGAGAATATGATTGAGTAATCTCCATAACTGACTGTGTCATGACTTTCGTGGTCTAGCAGTGAAACACACAGTTGCACCATTATTGGTTGGCAGTTGCGCGTTCTGAGATGGAACTCCAATATTTCAGCTTTCTACAAACACTTTTCGTCTACCTAAATTGAATCACAAGATCTTAAGGGGAGATGATGAGCAACATGATAATTGTGGTGGTGATAGAAAATAAAAGAGGAACTTTTAAAATTTTTTATGTATTTAATTAACATGAAAAAGAAAATGATGAAAAAATAATATTCCTTCATGCTTAAATTTTCTCACAAATAACAAATTTTTTTTCTTGTAAAAACACAAGAAAATGCAAGAAAGTTGTGATCTATAACTAACTTCCTATTTTACTCTTATTTTTCTTAAAATATTTTATTAGTTATTAATTCTAAAAAATTTTGGTATGAATTTAATTAATCATATCATTTGACCCAAAAACCTTTGTATTACTAATTGTCTTAAAAGGAGAATATCGAGCCATTTTTTAAAAAAAATTTAACTTTCAATTATAATTACATATTTTTTTTTCTTTTAAAACCGATTTAATATAATTAAGGATAATTTAGACAATTATAAAAAAATTCTTATAACTTTTCTTTCTTTCAAACAATAAAATGAAATTTTTTTAAAAATTTTCTGTAAATTTTTCATTCTAACCAAATACATGTATGAAAATATATTTTCTATCATGTTCTTTTATTTCACTTTACTTTCTATCATTTTCACTTTCCATCATTTTTTTCTTCCTAACCAAACAAACCCTATTAGTCATTCCACACAGAGGTCCCAATGCAGTAGTGAAACAATTATTCCTTGGGTGAGGAAAAAAAGTCGGATTGTGTATTAAATTATAAGGTCTATGTCTCTCATCGTTTCCACCAAATCATAATGTACTATATAATTAGTGGTGTCAAAATATGATACGACCCGTTAATACGATACAAAATTAGGGTAAATCTAACCCGACATGACACAATTAATAAACAAATCAAGTATAGGTGAAACAACTCAAAAGAAATCCACAACACGAAATTACACGTTTCGTTAGAAGTAAATTAATAAACAAATCGGATATGTGTGGATTATTTTTTGAGACGAATTCGTCTCATCCAACATGATTGATAGACCAACTATAACACAGCCGGGACAAAGGCTGTAGGAGAGTGGCAACTACTGCTTAGGATTCTTCCAAGAAGAAAATGCAAATATACAGAAACAATAATAAATAGCTCACTATATCGGGGTTCATTGCAGCGCAGCAGATGCAGAGGATACAGAATAAACAATTGCTTGTATCAAGGAAGTTGTAAGTTGAAGAAAACCCTGCCTGTTAATCCGTTGGAGCAGATGGGGTTTCAACAAGAAGATCTCCAACACCTTTGGGCGGACCAATGCTGCAACGAGCAGTGTTGTGCAATCCAATAGCATCCTTTATTTTCTGAAACTGCGAATAGATTTAAGATGCATCAGTAGTTATCTTTTGTGCTTAAAAAGCACAAGTTATCAAGTGTAGCACGTGCCAAGTCACATTCAATCCACAGAGAAACCTTCGACTATACTGATGATAGATACAATTTCCTAAATTGTGGACTGATGGAGTTCCAACTATACACCGATGGAGTTCAACTAATTATTGAGACTACACGAGTTCAATTTTCACACCCAGCCTATTAACACCAGCAAGTATTCTGATCAATTGTCCAGAAAGGAAGCATGAAATAGATTCTACATGCTTTAAGTTTCCACAACTTCATTCATTATCAAAAAATGGAAGGCTTCAGGTGTTGCTAACAGAGTAGTTAACATACTTTGTCAACAATGGCAAGCACGAGCATATAAAGTGGGAGATACTAGCAAAAAAGCAGAAAATTTTAGTAACAATATTTCAGTTACCTTGGCAAGTGAGCATGAAAAGGATTCGAGTTGTCCATCAGCTCCACGATAGAAATGGAAGTAAGGAAGAACCTTTACATTTAAGTTTTTGCACATCCGTTTATTTTCATCGAAATTGACTTTTAGAAATAAGATTTCAGAGTGTTCCTGAGCAGTCCTGCAAAACTTAAAAATCCAAGAGAAGATAATATCAGACGAAACAATTTTGAAACACAAACTTAATCCCGAAAAAATATGAGGATTTGTTGGTAACTTTGCTCTTCCAAAGTGGCGTAAGGACTCCAGACATTCCATGAACTTCAATCACGTGCCAAATAGATGGACAAGTAACATAAAATTACCTTGGGAAATAATGCTCTGCAAGAAGCACACCATGTTCCATAAAACTCGACAATAACTAGTCTATCTCCAGCCTGACTCAAACAACTCAAAAATTCTTGTGTAGAATGAATATCTATCATATTTGGTCCTGCATTTTTTTCCCACCATTTTGGCTGGTCAGTTTCAGCAACAGTTGCATGTACCTGAAGTGAAGCATCCAACAAAGAAACATAACTAACCTTAAGAAAAGATGTAATTGACATATTATCATGCTTTAAGTTTATTAAAAATATGTGCTACTATCATAAAAGTCACATATATTCTTTTGATCAGCTAATACTCCATGACAGGAAGTATATCATTGCATCAGAATAGATTGCACGAGTTCAGAGACTGAGTGCATGTGAGAGTAGAGCATGGCAGCCATATTAGTTCTCTCTTCTTCCACCTCTTTTCTTCCTAGATTGCCAGATAAGTGAGAATTTAAGAGTGCCAGAGAAAGCCCACTCAATTACATACAAAATATACAACAGGGCAACCAAAGAAAAAACCAAACAGAAGAAAAACATCCTAATTCACCCCTCAAATTAAGAAGGAGTTTATGGTAGAGGCCATCTCTTTCTCTTAGAATCAGGTGACAGTACCAGGCTGTGACCAAAAATTCAATCTATAACAGCAGGAATTCTTTTCCAGCTACAATGGAGTTCAGATGCCTAGCCATGTTCTTCCTGCAAACAGAACCTCAAAACTCACCAGCTTTTTGGTCTGAGTTTAGGGTAGAAAGAACTTTTAAACAAGTGATTTTGAGTTCTTTACTTATGAGCTAACTTAGTTACTCATCCAATAACATAGTTACCAAAAAAAAGACAAGATCGTGGTCATAAGCATATTTATGTTTTAAATTGTTACAAGAAAGCCATATGAATCAACATCTAAGAATGAATAGTTGCAAGAAAAAACAAAATGCACCAATCATAAGCTAATCTTGAATGTATAGAAACTTAAGGAGATCCAACAAAACATATATTAAATTGAATTTCATGAGCACTATTTGCAAAACCAGGAAACTGGACAAGCCGATATTTGACCCAAGGTAAAATCAAGGGCATGCTCATGAGTCATAAGGGATTCAGAATGGAACAGTTCCTTCATTTTTTTCTTTTTTTGGTTTAATTCTGTCAATATTTGAGAAATCATTAAGCTTGACAAGCAAGAGTATAATTGGGAAGCAATTCTTATTAAACAGACATTGATGTTAAATCCCCTAAAACAGTATTTGCAAAGAAAACAAAACATTCCACCAGATGGGTCACAGATTTCATTTCCTGCAACCGATAACCATGTACAATTCAGCTAGACTTTGCCCAACCAAAGTAAGGCCTCTGTGGTTTTCTCTAACAGCAAATTAATAACAAAAACATCTCAAACTTTCATCCATATTTTTTTAACTCAAAAGTACATACAAAAACATCCAACTGAACTATATGGGCATAACTCAGCAATTCTGAAAAAATGGGTGGTCCAAGATTTCAATAAGGAGGGATAGAACACCCTATAAAACCCTCTTGCTGCTAGTACTATATTTAAGAAGTTAAATTTCTAAAACTTTTAATTTCCCATAACTAGGGACTTGAGAAAACAAAACCCTCCACTCAGCTGCGATAAATCCAACTAATTAAGTAGAATTGACCTTCCCATTCGAATATCAAACTCAAAGAAACAAAAACACATACTGCAAATCCCAAAATTGGCGTTTCCCTTCGTTTACTCCGCCAACAAACAGGTAGTAATTTTTAAGGCAACAAAATTCCAAAAAAAGGCTAAAATATTTACCTCGAACGAATGTAATTGCTTGCGAGGTCTGAAGGCAACACGAGGAACAAAATCAACAGGAGCACAAGAGGAATCGGCAATAGAGAAAGCTTTCTTGCGTAATTTTTGATTGGGTGGAAGACCCGGGTGGAGAGAATTCAATGATAACGACAAGGAAGCCAACAGAGAAGAAGAGGAAGAGAACCGTAATGAATTGAAAGATAATCGGATCACATCAGCCATCGAAGATAGAGATTCGAAAAGAGAGGAATAGAGAAGACGCTGCTGTGTATTGTTTGTGTGAACCACATTGTACCAAGGTTTTTAAGAAATTTGGGTGATAAATTTTTTATTAAGTTTATAAAAAATACATGATAAATCTATTGATAACTTTTTTATTAACAATCCATGACTAGTATTGTCATAATGTTTTTTTTATCAATAATATAATAATTCAAAAGTTTTTAGGCATTAATACATTTATAAATTTTAATTTATTTGTTATTTGCACAACATCTATATATATATGTATATACAGAGAATGGAGGACTTAATTGCTAATATTTTATTTAGTTTTGTAAAATGACAATAGTATTGTGAAGTTAATTTTATATAAAAAAAAGCATATTTATGTCTTTTTAAGTTATTAAAGAACAGTGTGTCGTTAACTATTGGAAAAAATGGAATCTGAAAGATGAAGTGTATGACAGGGTCACGCGGACTAAGTTGCTTGCTTGACAATCCGTGCCATTTTATAAATGAAATACAATACAGGAGACAATAATGTGTCGTTCTAAAATATAACAACTAAGATTATTAAGTGTTATTTTACTCAAATATGTACAATATGATTGACCAAACCCAAGATGCCTAAATCTATGTTGAAATCCAAGTCATGATCGAGGCTCAAGATTATGAAAATCCAACAGGTCCAATAAAGTACAACTCCAGTCAAACTCATCAACTTAATTATGTCATCAAGAGAACTCAGGGGCCTCACCTTCGTTGTGTTGGAGATGGTTAACACCCTACTTCATCTTTTGACCTAATCTCATGAAGAGTATATAATTGTCTTGCATGTTAAGAAGAGGTCGTCAGATCTAACAAATTAGTCAACTACTCACTAATAAGTCGCCCCAATCTGTTAGAGGGCGGCTATAAATTGTAAGTCCTACTAACACTTGGGGGATAAATCATGTTCTCAACCAAACACTACTCTCCTCTCCCTCTCAAAACTTGTACTTTCTGCTCTCCTTGTATTCTTGAATTAATAAAATACCCGACGATCCTAGCCATTCAGAAGTAGACATAGGTCACATTGACCGAACCACTATAATTCTCGTCTTCTTCTTCTCTACTTTAATTATTGCATTTATTTTTAATTACTTGACAGGTGATGTGCAAAATCATTTTGTGTATCATCATAATCAAATGAAACAAAAAATTCACACGACATCTTTTAATTTTACCCATAAACTTATGAAATAGAAAAGAATATAATAGATATTCAAATTATATCTTTCTGTACTGAAACTATGTGTATATTATATTTATATAATAAAACAGGAGTGTGTTTGAATTTTATTCCAATCATATTTTATTTCTCAAAACCATCATCAATTACTTATCTCACCTATCATCTCTTTATCAAACTCAAATGTCAAATCACATCACTTATTTCTATCATATATTTAATCATTTATATATTTCTATCCTAAAAATATCACATCACTCATTTATATCATATATTTAATCATTTAATATTTAATTAATTTATAGTTAATATATTTTGGAATAAATTAATATAATGAGATCAATTTTTTGGATGCTTGAATTTTATATTTTAATCATGTCTTCAGACACGAGTTATGACTAGTATATATAAGATATAGGTGTTTAATATTTTGTAATTACTCTCATATTTAATTATATAATAACTATTAAATTTAAATAAAAAATAACTATTGGAAAACTAGCAGACTAGGCAAGTAAATATTAGAAACTTGAATCTCTTTTGCTTGTTCCACCATTGCGCACGTAGCAGTTCCAAGTCTCACTTTAACATAAATGCTATATATATAAAACAGAACAGTCTTCAATATCATTAACATCATTCTCAAAATCATTCACATTGTACTGTGTCTTGAAGTTCGGGTTATCCATAGTGTATATATATATATATATAGATATATATATATATCTATATAAAGTACTCTATCACTAACTATTTTAATAACAGTATACAGTTTAGTCAAAAAAATTTCAAATAAATACTCTTTTATTAATAATATAAATATCAAAGAAAATACTCTTCTATTTATAGGTTACATATTAATACACGAGGTGATTTACTTTTGAAGAAAAACGAGGTGACATGTCTCAATTCTTTTAATTTTTTATTTTGTGAAAGTCAAATTTTATTGGCATATATAATTAATTGCCTTTTTTTCCCTTTATTTAGGATTTCTGATTTTTTTTTACAAAAGATTTTGTATTTGTTTAAATATTACAAAATTTCACTAACTGGAATTAATAAATCTTAGAAGGACTTTATTATTTTAATTTTTTAGTGCGAATTGTGAACAATCTAGCTAATAAGATAAATAATATTTTAAATTTTATTCCCACATATTTTTTTCGCCTATTTTTATTACATCACTGTTTTCTATTACAAATTGAATCATTTAATTTTTGATTCAATACAAATTTTATTTCAAACATGAACACAAATTAATTTTTTTAAAGATCATGTATTTTGAAAAAAAAATTGTAATTTTTTTTAAAAACAATGTATATAAATTAATTTCAAATCATGGAATTAGAGAAAGGGAAGGAAAAATATATTATTTGATATATTGGAATCGATTTTTCAGACATTAGAATTTTATGTGATATCGTGCCTTTAGGTACGTGTAGAGACAGAATAAGAATTTTATCTCAAGTGAGGCCAAATAATACATAGTTACAATTTTTGGTTAAAATGTTAGATTTTTAGTTGTACATAGCTTATAAAATTTACTTTCATACAATACCACAATAGTTTGAAGTATAAAATTCAAAAATTGGTTCTTACCATAATATAAATTAATTTATCATAAATCGTGATTCTCTTATGCCTTCATTATGATATCATGTAATATTCTTATAATATAAAACATGACAGACTTCAATAAATTCATCTAACAGTTTCAAATGAATTCATCAAACAACCACTAACATCTCTCTTAAAATCATTTATATTGTACCATATGTCTTCAAACACGGGTTACTCCTAATCATGTAATAACTTTGGACAAATTATTATATGAAATAATAGTTTTGCATGATCCCATAGTAAAAATGAGTTGTCAATCAATACGTTATTGATTATAAAAGCATCATTTGTAATTTAATTTTGTAACAATCTCACACTTTTTTAAATTTATTTTGGTAATCAGACTCATTCAATCCAGCATTTTCAAATGTAAGAACGTGACTCATCCAATTGATTACCTGACACATTTGGTCGCATCATTTTTTAATACACTAAGGGTTGGTTTGGTCGTCGTATAATAAAATGAAGGATTATATTAGTTAATACGGGTTAATTATGTATACATGGATAAAACACAAGATTAAACATACGATAAAGTTAATACCTTTTATAATTCAATCTTTGGTAAGACATTGGATAAGGGTGGAATAATAGAACCTTAAGTACATATTGATTAAAATATCATCAATCTTATCTAAGTTACGTTTGGTAATTCATTGTTTTAGGTTTTTTTTTGTTTTTGTTTTCAATTTTTGTCAAAAATAAAAATGTGTTTGTGTTTTAGTTTTTTTTCCATCTGCTTTGTTTTAAAAACAAACCCCAAATCTCTAAACACACAAAAATGAAAATAGGCGCGCGGCTTGGGGTGCGTTTAATGAGGTCTAGACTTCGAATTCCATTCGCTGCAAAATAAGGGTACAAAAACTACAAGTATAAAAACTCAATTCATTTCCCTCTCTCGCCTCAGTCTCTCTCTCCTGTTTGCTTCAGCCAGAGGCTGCATTCGACAGCCAGACTTCTTCAACCTCAATGTTCATCTCTCAACGTCAATCCCATCTCAAACTTCTTCAGCCAGATCTATGTATGGGTGTGTGTTTCTTTGTGTGGGTGTATGTGTCTGGTCTGGGTGTGTGTGTTTCTGCGTTTGTGTTTTCTTTGCTCGGGGCGTGTGTGTTGCTGCTGGGTGTATCAAAAAATGGGAATAACAGATCTGAGGAATTTAACATGAGGTTAGACTAATAGAAAGTTGGGATATTTGTATTAATAGTAATTAGTGAAAAAACAAATTATATTATTTATTATATTTTTAGGTATTCATATCAATTTTTGGGTAAAGGTTATTAAATTTTATGATCCGTTTGAAATGGAGGATGGAAAGTAGGAGGGATACACTTTCTATCCTTCAAGGATAAAAAGTAGGAAGAATACATTTTTCTTCCTTTGTGTTTGGTTGGGTGGATGAAAAATAACAATGATTTATTTTGTTTTTTGTTGGCTAAGATTAGGAGTGACAATCAAGCCGTGTCGTGTCAGATTCGTGTTGAGTCATTACGCATTTGTGTCGAATATTAGTCAAACCTAACTTAACTCATTTAATTAATTTTGTCGTGTCGAGTTACGAGTTGACCTGTTTATTTTTGTATCGAGTTCGAATCGTGTCATCGTATCGAGTAGAAAATTTTCATCTTTAGTTAAGATGGAAAAAATATTTATTTTTAATTAAAATTTTTTATTTTTTTAAAATTTATTTTTAATAATTTTTAATATATATACATATTTTAACATTGTATTTTTATATGAAATGAATATATACATAATATATGTATATATAAAAAGATATATAGACAAATAAGATACATCTCAACACAAATAATTAACTTTTTATCCGCTTTTCTTCCGATTTTTTAGGGATTGATTTTGGTGAGTTGGAAGGAAAGTTAATTCATCCAATTTTCTATTCATCCTAGTTTTTTTCCTTACCAAACATGATGTTTTATTTATCCCTCCAACTTTTCATCCTCACACTTTTCCATTATACCGAACGGAGTATTAGGGTGCATATACTTTTGAGATTTACTTGTCATTTTTTTAAATAAAATGTATAATTATTTTGGTGAAATTTATGATTTTATTTTATTACTTTTTTATATAGTTTAAAAAATAAATGGCGGTAGTATAGTGTTGCACATGGGTAAAATAGGAACTTCGTTTTCCAAATCTTGCTGCATTATTAGATATTGATGGCTCGTTAAACGGAATTTAAT